AGGCATTGCACTGCTAATGGGAAGCTGTGATGAGGAAGGCAAAACAGAGAGATAAAGGAGGAAAAACCACAGCAGAAACCTGGGACAATACTGGAGGTCTGAGCAACCTGATCTAGCTATAGATGTCTCTGTTCACTGCAGGGGAGTTGAACTAGATAATCTTTAAAAATCCTTTTCAACTCAAATAATACTATGAGTGGAGGCTGAACAGGCGAGATGAACCCTATGATGGGCATCACCACGAGTAACACCATGAAACTGACCAAACCCCATTTTGGAGGCAGAAGTTCTCTTGGAGTGAACTATTACTACTAGGAGACCCAACTAGGAGATGAGAGGGTGACTGCCAGCAAGGAAACACAAGGCCAGCAGAAGACAGGAGTAAAGAAAGGCCTCCTGTGCACTCCAGACTTTCAGAAGTGAGATATTTGTTCTATATGCACTGGGAAGACTTCTCTACTCCCCCCAGTCTAGTAAGCCCATGGATGGATGGGCAGTAGGAGCTGCGTTAGTGACACCAGCAAGAGACACTGAGCAGACAGGAGCAAAAATCCAAGGAAATCATCTGCAATTCCTGGCTTAGAGTCATATCTGTTGGAAGGGACCTTTAAAGGCCAACCTCCCTGGAAAGAACACAGACACCTACAGCTCAGTCAGGTTGCTCAGAAATCAGGTCCAGCCTGACTTTGAGTGTCTCTAGGGATTAGCACTCACCAGCAAATTGTCTGGGCAAACTGTCCCAGTGCTTCACAAAAGGGTTTTTCAGGGGATGCTGGCAAATGAATGGCACCAGGACTAAACTGACCAAAGTATTTTATGGAAAAGCTAAAAGCCAAGCCTACTCCAAAAAGGGAGGGGTGACAGAAGAAGACTGGAGCAGTGTTTCACATCATAGCTGCAAGCAGTGAATGTGAACACAGCAAGATATTACAAAAAAAAAAAAAAAAAAAAAAAAAAAAAAAAAAACCACTTTACTGTACAAAACTAGTTAGTTCTGAAGCACTCAATGGCATTTAATAGTTTTCAGCTCAATCAGAAGAGGGAACTCAGAGCTTACATTACAGCAGCTTGAGGAGCACTGTGAGGAACAAAGCACAAGTCCTTACAAGTCCTTTGGTTTCAACCAGCACATACAAAAGGTGTGCAAGGAAGAGGCAGAGAGCTCCTCCAGCAGGGATGTAGAGGACTCTGCTGGCACCATGAGCTCAGGGGGTTCTTCACAGCTCTAAAGTTATGGCAGAAGATGGATGGACCATCTGCCAGTGAACAGGCAGTGCCATTTATTTATTTCATGAAAGAGAGGAGTGCTCAAAACAGCCTTTGGGGGAGAAAAAAAAAAAAAAAAAAAAAGAAGAAAAACTGTGACATCAGTTCCAAAAGAAAGGCTACAGACAGGAAAGGGCAAAATGTAAGCGTTGTTCAGACTGCCTGATGCCCAGTGTGGTGTAGCAAAAGAAACCACCATCAGGACAAGTGGGCAGGAAGAAATGTCCATCCCAGATTGGTTTTCTCCCTCTTCCTCACAAGAGAAGGACTCACAGATGAACTGGTGAGGCCGGGGCTCCAGAGCCTCCAGCGTAAGTGGGAGGCTGAAAGTGCAGCCCAACTATTCAGACCGTACAGTCCAAACCACTTGCAATGAGATAAATTAATCTAACAAGTAATGTTCACTTGCTTGTCATTTCATCAGCTTGGCTGCCAGTTGCTATACTGCTGGGTTCTGGTCTACAGACACTGATCGATATTGACCTTCGGGTAAAACACAGCATGGAAAGGCCTTGAGGAGATGCAGCAGCAGCTTGACCCAGAGCTCACTAGGAGACAACTTGTTTACTTCTTTACTAACCACCCAAGATGGCAAGGAAGGAGGAGTTTAGAGCAAAGCAGTGATTTTCTTCATGCCATTTCTGTAATGTGGCACAAGCCCTACTCAAGGCAAAATATTTGAGTGCCCCCAGTTTTTGTCTTCCTGGAAAGGTGAGTGACGGCCTTACGGAACCCACAGGCAGCCCCAAGGGAAGCAGTGCTGCAGTCCATACTTTGGCAGCTTCACTGGGGATTTTGCTTTTTTTTTTTTTTTTCCAAATTGCTCAGGGAACTCAAAGGCCTCACACCATCTCCTTCTTCATGGCAGGTTTATCACACATATTGACATGACGGACTGGGCTAAAACCAGCTGAAACTAGAAATGTTCCTTAAACTCTGTTGTTCATATCACAATAACAAATGCGCTAACGAGATGCAGAGGTTGGTATCATCCAAAATTCAGCAGCTGTGGTATCTGCCATAAAGCTGACTTCACAGGTTTAAGCTGCTGTTGCTAGAAAACATTTCCTAGGCTGGGGAAAGAAATTCAGAACAAATAAGAGGTTGCTCTTCTGCATGTAGCCCTGGCTAAAACTACCCATTAATTGTCACTCTCTGTGATAACACCTCAGCCAGTTCTTCTGTCCCAAGGGAAGCCCATGGGTGGTGGAGCATCACCAGGAGCATAGCCTCCTCCTCCTCTTCTTCTTCCCATCACTGCACCCTTCCTTTCACTCACTCACATTTCACTTTTACAATAAAGCTTGCATGGAGGTTACTGCTCAGGAAAACCACATCTTTCACGGACAACTCTAGCTTGAGAACCTAAAGAAATGAGTGGGCTCAATCTAATGAAAGTAAAGGTTCTGCTTGTGTAAGTGACTCTTCTTTTTACAAAAAAAAAAAAAAAAAAAAAAAAAAATCACAAACAAAACATAGCTTCTGGAAGTATAGGACTCTATGGGGAAAGGAAGAGGGAAGAAGAGAGATGCAAACTCCTTGAGCTGCATAGCACAGCTTGCTTCCTAATAGCATTCTGGTGCCTCAGAAAAAAGAGGTAAATTTAAGGGACTCGTAGCCAAGAAGTTTTTTTTTGCAGAGTTTGAAATCTCATTTTTATGCTTATCTCATGCAAAGCTGAAAGGAAATACCACTGGCCACAATTTCAACCTGCTAAGAAGAAAAATCTGTTGGACAACAGCCAGCACAACTGAAGGGAAATTTGCTACACTAAAGGACTTGACCAGAATGCATCCTTCCACAAAGCAAATACGTGTGCATCCACAATGGGGCAAATCCCTGCAATCTCCATGAAGGCTTGCACAGTGATGTGCTATTGATCTTTGTCAGCCCACTGCTGTCCCTTAGCTAGAGATGATCATTTCTGTAGGGCAGCCTCCAAAACAGCTGGTGTGAGCTTTCCCTAATCTGCTCCAGGACAAACTCCATCACTTGCTGAAAGCGACAGGCAAAGCTGGACAGACATCAGGCTGCTGTTTTCCCATAGGGATGCGCTCTACATCTCTACATATGCTATCACTGTTTTGGCTTCCCCTTCTGATACCAAATCAAACGATCAAAAGGAATAAGGAATACTTTCCTAAAACTGGGACTTAAGAGCTGTGCATGGCCCTGTCTCTGGGCGGTCTGTATGGAATAAAACCCCTGAGGCCTCCGTACTTTACAGAATCAGGACCCAGATCTTCAATCCTGCTCTGAGTCCATTTGAAGGTGACGAAAGGGCTGCTAGGATGGAACTGTAGCTCTAAAATAGAAGTGCTATACTGAAGGTGCCATTTCGCAACCTTGTAGCTCTTCATTACAGCCCCTAGCCTGCTCCTTGCTGGTTGTCAGCACGCTCAGGGGAAATCTTTCCAAACTGCAGTGCATTTCAATAAACGGGTCAGGTTAGCAAAGCTTTACGACCGCAGCTGAAGCAGCGAGGAATCCAAACACAATACAAATACAACAACCAAGCAGGCAGAGCAGAGGAGGAGGTGACTTCCAGCAGGTGGGAAGAAGAAACTCCATCAGATGGAAGAGAAACACAAGCAGAGCCTTTCACTCCTTGGAGCAATTCTCCCAAGGGGCTGCAGCAGCCCCCAGCCTCATGTTTGCACTTTATTTATAGCACTGACTTCACATTCTTAACCTTCCCAACCGCAAACTGCAATTTTTCTCCCCACAGCATTATGGTGATGGTTTGGAACTTTGAGATGTTTGGGAAGGGACAATTTGGCATCGGGAGACTAAAAAGCAGATACAGATGACATCCTAAATGTATCTTTTATGAGTTTTGAACGCTTCCTTTAAATTAAGCTCAGAATGTGTGACAGCTTCTGGTAATGCCGCCAGTAAGGAAAAAAAAACATAAAAATCAAGAGGTTTTTGAGCACACACAGTCTTAAAGATCACATCTTTGAGTACCTTGCTTTCCCTCACACCACCTCAAGCTGTGATGCACCAAGTGCTTCCCAAGGACAGTGCTCCAATGATTTCCGCTGTCTTTTCACCGCAGATGCCCTCAAACATCAACGCACTTCCAAATTCAAGGCTCATAAAAAATTAAATGCTCCAATAATTCTAAATTGGGTCTGTTCAGTACTACTGGAGCCTGTCCATTCCTTCCGTTTGCTTTTTTTTTTTTTTTTTTCTTTGTTTTGCTCGTGGGGGGAAGAAAGGACAAAATACTTTCTATTAGTGCTTCAAATTGGAAGCTGGTCAAACAGCATCATAGCAGAGTGACTCAGCAGCCTCTGAGCTGATTCGCAGCGTATCATAAAACAGGATTAGGAAAACAACAATGCCTGGAGGAGAAAGAACACACACAGATTCATGGCAAGAGAACAATACCAAAAAGGAGTGGAGGGAATAATCCCGACTTGGCTTCCGAGGAGCAGGTTGGATGACCTAATAGATGGCTTTCAATGCCCTTCATTCCCCACTTAGTCGTAGGGCTCAGCCACCCGGTTCCAGCTACCACAGCTTAATAAATGGCTCTGCATCAATTGAAGCACATTAAGCACTTCTGTGTGCACACCAGCAGCCTGTTGTCATTTGTCTGGGACCACGGTCCCCCTCTGGCACAAGACCCAGATGCTATTTCAGAGCAGGCAGGAGCTTATGCAGAACTAGTGGTGCACCCTCATGGCCATTTAGGACAAGAAGGAAAGGAAACAATCTAAGACTGCACATTCCAGTTAGAAACCAAAAAGTGACGCTGTCTCAGTCTTATTCAACAATACACAAGTGGCAGCAAATTAAAGCACCAGTGATGTCAAGCTAAGCATACTCCTTAGCACAGTCCCATTCAGGGTGGAAACCAAGCAAGTATTTCATAATATGTTCAATGCCAAGTTGGAAGAGGAAAGCATCATTAAAAGTCTATTCTCTGGGAACCTGAAGACCCTATTGACAGCCTTTTTGTAAATTAGGCCACACTTGTCACAGCTGCAGCCTTGGAGTGACAGAGGAAGGCAGGGACTGTCCAAGGAGTTTTACTAGATTGGCAATGGTTGAAACAGTTTGAATGCAGAACAAGAAAATTCACAGCTTCATGCAAGCAAGAAAAAAAAAAATCAGATAATTCTCACAATTCTGCTAAAATACCTACATACCTACATGGGTAGAGAGACAGAAATCAGGTAGGAAAAGAAAAATCTCATATGCCACAGTATCCTTTTGTAGATTGAAAAAAGATGGTAAAGTGCTTCCTTGTTTAAGTCACTGTAGGATGCCTGGAATTTTATAGAAACTGCTGCAGTGTGTCTCCCAGTGGAGAATAACTGAAGCATGAGATGAGAAAACAGCCATACCCTAAACTTGCAGCGGCAGGAACTGTTAAAGGAAATGTCCAATATAGACTTTATATACAGAAAGACTACAAGTAACAGCTTGGATTCCTAAAGTACAAAAATGTAAACCAATTCTCTAATCATGTCTAATCAAAGAATGCTATCAGTTGCTGCAGACTTCTAAGAAGTACCGTATATCAGAGAGATGGTAGAATGCATATCTTGTTCAGTGGTGCTTTGGGAATAGTTTAGCCTGCAGCATTTAATTCCCTGTTATTACTTCTGGGCCCGGAGGTGAAAGTCATAAATCAGGACCAAACATAATTTGCAGTAATGGGGTGAAATACTCATAAAGAGAGTTACACGATGTAATTTTGGGGGATTGTAACTCTTCCAGTCTTTGATGATTGCAGTAAAAAAATAACAAAAACAACAAAAAAAGTCTTCCATCTGTAGCATCTATTCTTCGCTGATCCCACATGGGATTTTTTATCCTTTTCTCCAAGCATCTCTACCTTTTGCTGGCATGCCCTCCACCCTTCCTCTCTGCTGCCCTAAATATATACTTAAAAGAAAATCATAGGAAAGCATTCCTTGCTTAGAAAGAAGGGCAGGTTCTAAATTCCATTGACTTCACTTACATGGGAATTCAATACCACAGGACTTTTCCCAGGGAATTTTGTTCAGATTTCAGGACCCCCTACTGTTTTTTAGAGGGCTATTTTGTCCCACTTAGATGGCAGCTACATTCTGAGTAATAAAAACCACAGTATTATAAAATAACATCGTCTCCATTCTTCCTTACCATCTACTGAGTTAAAAATTATTAAAAAAATAAAAATAAAAAAAAAGAGAGAAAGAAAGAGAGAGAGAAATAGAGAGAAAAAGAAAGAGAAAGAGCGAGAAAGAGAGGAAGAGTGGAAAACAAAGAAAGAAAGATAGAAACTAAAAAAGATCCCAACCCATAATGTGTTAGAGCTTTGTTTTCTGAGTAACAAGACTAATCATGTTTCCTCTATTTGAGGTCTCTTTCTTCTCTTCCTTTTCTTCTAGGTCCTCTGGATCCACACTGACATAGAAATATCCCATGATGGAGAAAATAATGCACACAGCAAAGAGTAGAACAGTGAACAAGACAAATTCAGCCCACTAGGAAAGAGAAAAAGAAATAAAACAGCAAGTCAGGGAACACCAGTCTCCCAGTCCAGAGGATTTCTCTGCATGTCCAAGTGCTTTTCAAAGTGCTGGGTGAAAGCTTTCCAGCACCTACGGTTTCTCTCAAGGTAGAAACTTTCTCATCCTGTTTTCTGGTAAATCATGTATATGTAATGTAGTTATGTAAATACGAATATGTGTGATATACCTCAAAACAAGTCAGTCACCCATGGGCTAGTTTCACTAAACCTCTTACAAATCTGCCCTGGCTGGCACATACCTGCCTGGCCTTTTTGCCCACAAGATGCCTTTGAGACAGGCAGTTTGCTGTGAGCCAGAAACAAGCCCCAGTCCACAACTTCACGTCATCATCCCAGAAGCTTTGCAGCTTGTAAGAAACAACTTCTGCACCACAGCCTCCCCATGCAGAGCCCAGTATCGCAGGGATGCAATAGGCAGCTGGCCCTGACAGAATCAGGCAAGCTGCTTTTGGTATGCAGCAGCAACACATGGCTGGCATTGTGTCCAAGCTCCAGGTCCAAATAAAGTCTGCTTGCCTAAAGCTGAGTTCCAGCACTATTAGCACGGCACAGCAGTATTACTTACTGCCATTGAAAGGCCCAGGAAAGACCATTGCTCCAGAGGGCAATGCTGAGGGCTACGCAGAATCCTGGCTGGGAGACAGCTGGGGCATGTTGGAGCCTGGGGCTGGGTAGAGAAACTCTGCCTCCAGGGCACAGGCATCCAGAAACACCACCCAGGGCCTGTTCTAAAGCATTAGCTTTGTTTTACTAGCAGAACCATACCTGCGCCATAGGTGCAGCCTGGGCAACAACAAGCACAAGGGTATTCCCAACAGCCACTGTGAGCAGCCAGCCTGCTTGCAGCACTGACTTCATGCTGGCTGGAGACTGAAAAGGGAAGAAGAGTCTGGTCAGTGGCTGTCATGCTGTGCCCACATCCCTCTACCTAGCCTAGGAGAAAATGGTGGAATTTTTCATGTGTCTCCTTTGCAATTAAGTCCTACAGCTGCATACAGAGAGGTTTCAAAACAAGTCTAGAGGACACATGAAGAAGGTTCCTGTTGCAGATCTGGATTCTGATCACCCCCAACCCAGATCATCTACTGTAAGATCAGGAAGACTAGAGACCCAAGCAAAAAGCTCTGAAGCTTGAAGCCTGGTGCTCTGCGTCTGCACATCTTTGGAAAATACTGGATCTTGATGTTAAGCTTCCTGCCAACCTCAAATTATCCATATCTCACAACAGATTGTCCCGTGGATTAATGCCTCACATTAATAAATATCTGCAGTTTACTCCAAAGATAGATTTGAGTAGCTTCAGCTTTTTGATCTTGCAATGTCTCAGTCCTCTCCACTCACAAACCTTCATCCCAGACAACCTAGTGTACCACAATCAGATTCTCATAAATCCTTAGACCCCCTTCAGTCTCTCAGTTTAAAGCAGGTTCCAAGCCTCATGCAACCTTGGCAGACGTGGGAATAAATCCTGAAGTCTAATTAAGCCCCTTATCTTTAAGTGGAGTACCTGAGAATAGGAGAAGGCCAGACCCGTAATGGAGAACATCACTTCTCCAGCAGATATTAATAAGTATTGTGGTAATTGCCAAGCCATATGGACACTGTTGGCTTTGATGTCTTCTGACTTCCATGTCTGAACCGCACCTGCAGACACCTAGCAGGAAAATAAAGGAACATCAATTAGCTGCTGAAAGATCAGATCCTTCCTAGACTGGACTACAGAGAATTAAGATGAAGCTTAAAGCAAAGACAGAAGCAAAGCTCTGACCTGGAAGTGAAACTGTGGGTCTGATCTCTGCCACATCCAAGCCTGCTGGGAGTAGGCTGACTCCTACTGCACAACATGAAAATATCCCAGCTACCTCCTGTGCCACAAGATCTTCAAGATTTATTGCAAAATGGTAAGCTGCCTTCTTTACTGGTGTTAGGAAAAGTCTGTGTGGTACTTTTATGGAGCCTGTCACCTGCTGATGACACCAGAGCCGGAATGGGCAAGAGGATAAATGCTCACTCCCTCCACATGACCACTATTTGCATTCCGTCAGCACTGTATAACTCCCCAGCTATAGCATCAACACCCAAACATACCCAGTTCAGGAATTCTAAGAGTAGCAAAAACTTCCCCACATCAGGTATATTGAGACAGTTACAGTGTCTGTATTCCTAATTCCTTTTGTTTGCTTTTCTAGGTGTAATTAATACTGCCTCTGATGTGCAGAGAAGCAGAGAGAGATTTGAGTAGCAGCCAGGCAATCATTAGGCTAAAATGCCTTCAGGCAGGAAACCTAGTGTTTAAGGAGAGTACATGGGAAAATACAAGGGATGTTTATGAGATGTACTTAATCACCATGCAGGGAGGCAAATCAAGAGAGTGTAATTTAGAAGGCTAAAAGGGGTGAGAGGAGAGCTGCGCACTGCTCTTTTGCCCAAAGGAAATGTCACAAGTACTATACTACAACTGCACACTGAAGAAGGCTGGGAAGGCACTATTTCCATGATTTAAGTATTACAGTTCAGCTATATTAGCAGCCTAATATATTGCTTTCTTGGTTCTTCTATACTTCACTCTCAGCTGAGTAGGAGAGCATGGTACAAATCATTGCAATAATTAAAAATTATCTTGGCCTGGAGCAAACTCTCTACAGAAGGATGAAAGCACAGGGCAAGAGATGGAAAAACAGAGGGTCAGAAAGATTAAAGGACTGCACAGGGCCATAGGGTCTGAGGCACAGAGCCACCCCTAAGCATCCACGGAGGCAGCAGGGGCTTTGAGATGAGACCACAAAGTGGGGTCCTTGCCCACACCCATTTGGAATGCATCTACCTCTCCTCTACACTCTGCTGTATTACTCGAAGCTTGGTGATAATATTCTTAGTCTCATATTCTCTATGCAACTACTCTACTCAGCTTCTCATCCTGGGAAAGAGGTGTGCAGCCATAGAAGTAGGGACTGGCCAACATCCCTTCAAGTGTGCATGTGTTTTGTGTACATAAATCTCCACACTCAAAGATGGCAGCACCTGCCTGTCCTCTCCAGGACCGTACATCACATTCCAGCTACAGGAGGAAAAATGTGAAAAAACAAACAAACAAACAAACAACCAAACAGGTGTTATGCAGCTATGCTTTTCCCCTCTACGTATTTGGATTCCACAGACATGAACAGCTCCCATTAGTTGCCCAACAGGGGGATGTTCCTGCCAGGGAATAGCTGACAGCACTTCGCTCTGCTCATCACAACACAGTAGTCAAAGCCCCAAAGGGCAGCTCAGCAGCGTGTCCTGTCAGACCTGGTTTGTAAGCGTGCCTGTGCAGTGGGAAGGTTAAAATGGGCACTAAGACAGTTACACTGATCTCCGTGGCTCCTGCCAGCTGGACCAGTCAGAGCAGTGCCTCTAAGAAGCTGGCAGGCAGGCAAAGGATTCCACCCTCTTTGGTTCACACTTCTGGGTTGTTTGGAAAAGCATGCCTTGACTTCACACTAGTCTCCAAATGAGCTGTACAGTGAGAGTGAGAGGAGGAAAAGAAGATACATAACCTCATCCACCTCTCTCAACACTTTGCTCCTCTTCTTCCTGTGCAAAATCCACATGCCTTGAAAGATCAACTTTCAGATCAGTAAGTAAAACATGAGGGTGCAGCAGACTGTTTTTGCAGAGTTTCTCAAGTGTGAAATGTTACCAGGTACTGTAGTTTTAGAGGTCACAGGCAGCATTAGCTCTTGGCAGTGTGTTGGGTCAATGTTAACCAAACAAGGATGGTGTGATACCAGCATAAACTGCATGTCACTTGATTTTCTGAGGATTTCCATCAAGCAAAAGACATTGCTTCTTGTTTAACTGGTAAGACTTGACAAGATCACAGTGTAAGGTGGAATGACCACCCGCCCCCTTTGCTTTTATAGTTGCCAGAATCTTTTCCTGGATAGCCTTCAAATGGCTATTGCCTCAGTCTCACAAAGTGGAGAAAGCAAGAGAGTCACCAACGTATGAGGAAAAACACTGCCAGAGACTAGAGCAGAACGAGCTTGTTACCAACACAGGATCACTTACATTAGTTATCACAACAGTGTACGATGCACCAAAGTCAAGCAGCCCTAGGTCCAGGGTGAATTCCCCAGTTTCAGTTATGCATTTTCCATTATCATATCTAGATACAAGGATGAAGTACAGCATTTTCTGGTTAGTCTCAGACAAAGAACACAGAGTAGAGCTATCAAAAATGCCCCTACAATGGACAAGAGAGGATGTATAATGTAAAGCTGCAGTCAGGTTTATGCCAGAGGATCCCTAGAGTTCTTGCCATCTCTTCCTTCCAGGAACACTTAGGCACTGACTAGAGTTCACCCAATGACCCAGGCTATTGCTAATGTTTTGAAATGCTGATTCTTCCAACCAATCTCAGAAATTTCCAGCAAAAAGAGAACTTCTCTCTCTCTCTCTCTCTCTTTCCCCCCCCCCCCCACAGCCTTATTTTTCTTCCAAAATTTTATTCATTCCTTCTAGGAACTGTGGGCCCCGCAAGTTAGCCAGGCTCAGAGAGTCTTCAGGATATTAGAGATACACTCCCACAAGCCATAGTGTTTCCTTTCAACAGAGCAAATTAGCCTTCTTATTTGTTCTTAAATTTTGGATTGCCAAAGTGGTTGATGCATCCACCTAAACTGCAGCCATAAATACCTTGGATGGAGCTTCTGCAGAGAAAAGCCAGGAGGCTTTGAAACATTGCAGAGGCCAGAAATTCTTACATGAGCCAAGTCTTGTGCTGCCAAACCACGGCCATATGCACCCCCAGTCTATCAGCCCGGCCTACAAGGCCATGGGATGTTAGATGTTACCAGCCCACATGATGTCGTCAGCTCACATACCAGCACTTTGTCATGTGGAATATGAATTGTTCCTTCTCTGAGAGCATCCTAACACTAAAAGCTTGGACCTGAGAGAATACCAAAATAGAGCAGGTGCCACATGGCAGAGAGACTTTTCCATCTTCGACTTCATTCTGCTGACAGATGCACAGATGGCCTCTCAATAACTTCTCATAATTCTTCACTCCAGCTCCACATACAGTGTAACTGCTCAGAGAAAGTTAAGTTCTGTACATGGACTTCTTCAGAAAGATTTTGGATTCCTGATATTCTATTTACCTAGCTCTAAGAAAATTCCAATCATTACCTCAATTAGAACGTCATTACACTCATGTCAAAGGAATAACGCTTCCAAGCAATAATGTTTCCCTGATTATGTTATCTTACCAAACCAACAACTGCTACAGGAAGGGAGCTTTTCCAGACACAGTTAAGAACTTGAATCTATTCAGCAACATATTATGCACAGAGAAACTGATCCCCTATCCTTCGACTTGGACGCTTTGCAAATGCATGGTTCTTCTGTACACACACAAGTGGCCTAGAGTAACTGCTGCTCTGCACAGAGCTGATTATTCTGCTTTTTTTGTTTGCTTGTTTTTTACAAACATCTGCCACACAATCAAATGCCAAGAGCATTGCAATTAAGTTTCTGCTATTTACATGAAAAAAAGAAAAAAAAAAAACCCTATGGTGCTCAAGGAAGGGCTTCAGTGAGGACCTTCAGCACAGCAAGGGAAACTTACGTGTCCCTCTCTACAAGCGAGTACCCAGAAACACCACAGTTTCTCTGAACAGATATGAACTGTTTGCTGTCAATGGTGAGGTTGACATCTTGGCTCAAACTGTTAATGAATCTGCAAAGAAAGCATATTATTAGGCTGTCAGACAGGGCAGGAAAAGTAAAACATGAATCACTTAAAAGAAATGCACTCTCTCCCAAAGCATTCTGTCACTCCATAAGGTTACGACAGTTTCTCCTGCAAGCCACCAAAGTATCAGCCTGACTCAATGCCGAGGCTTTCAATATAAAACTATTTTTCCTACTGCTATGTAATTTTACTCTCTCTGTGCAAAGAGAGCTCTTATTTGTGTGTGTGAGAATGAACTTACCAGCAATCTCTTCTCAGACACATTCATAGATTCTTTTATATCTGTTCAAGAGGATAGAACCCCACCCCCAGGAAACTATAAAGGTGTGTGTCCTGATGAGCGTGTGCACTGTGCTGCCATACTTTCCAAGGAGTTTCTAATTGCAAGAAAGAGTTTTCTAGCAAGATATTTTCATCATCAACAAACTTTCATGGGAAAACAGAGGTTTGGGCCTGTTAGCGAAACCAAACAATTTTCATATGATCCATGATTTTAAGAATTTTGGTTTTCAGTTGTTAACATAGAAGGGAGCCCTAAAGATAGTAATATGCTCAACGAAAGTAACTTCAGTGGAAAAAAAGAACATTCTCCTAGTTAAATCTCAGAATTTTTTTAACGGAAATGTTTGAGATTCTGTCAAAAAATGCTGACAGAAAAATGAAAGAGTTTCTGACAGGAAGTATTAATCAAGTCTCCTAGGTGGTGTTCAGGCAGCAGAAAACTTCACAGGTGCAGGTCTATGAAGATACTGCTCTCATTTTATCTGATTAGTTTGCTTTTGTACAGGAAGTTGGACAAGATAAGTGATCATCATGGGTTGCAGAGGACAAATGGCAACAGCTCCTTTCCAGATTGCATCTTCCCCTTCTTTCCCAAAATGGCGGGCCATGGTGAGATCACCCTTCCAAAGGAGGAGATCTTTTATGCTGCCATCTCAGCCCAGACAATCCTAGGCAGTAGATGGCAATACAGTTCAGTTCTGCACAGCAAGATTGGGAGGTCAATGTCTGCAGCTGACACCTGTATCGTTTGTTGCAGGAAGAGCATAGGCTAGATTCTAACCCAAGAACATCTGGGCTACATTACTTACAGTTTGAATTAGACAAAAGCAGTTTCTCTCAGCCCACCACCCTTGATTCCTTAAAAAAAAAAGAAAAAGAAAAAGAAAAAGAGCCATTCATACCTAACTGCTGCCAAACCATTTTCTGGCTTTGTTTTCAAGTCTGTGATCTAAAGCGGAAGGAAAAAAAAAGAAGAAAATCACATATATGAATTAATGCTGCCTTATAAACAAGATGTAACAGAAAATACTAGTGCCAGTGGAATGACATGTTGCAAAGCCAATGAGACTGACTGTATCTCACTAAAGCTTTGCATCACGCTACAGAAGTGAAGTCCCAGTACAGTGAAACCAATGGCAAAATTCCAAAGGTTTAACATGAGATCATACATTTTTTCTAATACAGGCTACAGAATTTCAACGAATTATCCTTCTACTAAGGTTTGCAACACTCTCTAACAAAATGATTTGTCTTGATCTGGAAATAGCAAGAGAGCACTATCCACATTAGCCTCTTCCAATGATTAGTTACAATTAAACTTGAGCACCACGCTCCTATGAAAACCAGCAAATAGCTGAACTTCCAGAGCTGGATTCTTGGTTTACTCATCATCTCCACAGAGCCTAAAGCCAATAGGGAATGTTAGGTTGCAATGCTGATCAACATCTACAGCTTATAATTTTCCTGACACTTAGAGAGAAAAATATCACACAGTGCAGGCAGAGAGCAGGAGGCACCAGGATGCACTGAGCTGTTTTATGGTCACAGTCTTTGCAGGCTCATCCTTGAAATTGCAGCGTGGCTGGGTACACTGGGGACTGACAGATCTCCTTAAGATCACAGCTGGGGCATCAATTGGAAAGTTAAGCTATACCTGCTTGAGAAGGGTTTACTTGGTGCACAATGCTGAGAATAAAGACAATAGGTACGCAGCCCCTGCCCTGAAGGTTGTATTTCACACAAAAAGAATACAGTCAGTTCCATAGCTGGTTGAAATCCATGGTTGTACCCACACAGCCCTTTCTCCATGCTTTCTTTGCAATGTAAAACCCTGACCTTCTAAGACTAAGGATCCAGAACTACAGCATCCCTATGAAAAGGCCATTGCACTTCAGTGCAATATGCTGATCCACAAATAATATATGCCCTAAGTAACAAATAGCCACAGTGAATAACAAATTTCAGAGCAATAAATAATAAACAACACTGTTTCTTTCAGTGGGAGGCTCATGGGGATTAACACACTAGCTTGCTGCAGGCAGGACTGACAAATTATTATTCGCGTTCAGCAAAGATCCCCAGAGCTCTCGAATTCATTTCCTGCCCACTCAACCACCCACAAAGGAGAAGAAACCAATTTCAGACTGGCTTCTTCCAGGAAAACATGAGCAAAAGGCCAAACCCACCTTGGTGTTGAGGGAGGCTGGGACTACTCCAGGATAAGCCCTGCAACACAACAGTGATGCCACTGCCATCCTCATCTTGCAGTGCTGCAAAGTGTCATTTACTAAACTGCCTTCCACACCTCTCCTGTTGTCAGCTGACAATGACAGCTCAACAGCATCAGCCAACAACACAAAGCAGAAATCTGCCCGTGCTGAGGGTAGGCATTAATTCAAACACAGGTTAGATAGCTGGGGCAGCACAGAGAGCTACGGAAGCTCAGAGATTACTTTGCTTCAGTCTGTCTCAGGCTTTCTTTCCATGGAGACAGTATGAAAATCACTGTATGAATATCAATTTCTAAGGGAAACGGCACACCATCATCAGGGTTTCAGGGAAACCTAAGAACATTGTGTGAAAATGAGCCCCAAGTTCCAAAACATTAAAAAAAAAAAAAAAAAAAAAACTGCCTCAGGGAAAAAATTAATTCTTAAAACTCCTCATTTTTAAAACCAGTTACATAATTTCTACTATACAATATTGAATGCTTATGCACTGACAACACTGCAAGGTAGGAGGCTGAGAAATTGCAAAGAAAATAGTCACTTTACCATAAGAACAGATTCTAATGCCATTCACACATACATACACAACTACCTCAATGCAGAATGACACCATTCATTTTAAAAGTGTTTCTTGGGATACAGCTGCACATAAAAGATATCAGAATCTAGTCCTATATACCCCACGTATGTCTCTATAATTATTGCAGCAATACACAAAAGTCCAAACACAGCTCTGCTGCAGAGCTGGAAATGAACTTAATCATTTATTCTGTTCAGCAAAACAAATGGGTCTTCTGTGCATTTTCACTAAACGCTTGTAATAACTGCACCACGAATCATTCCTCTGATGCTTTTACTCCATGCCCAGCCCTAGAGCCTCTTTAACATCTTTGCTTTATAGAACCATCTTTTGGGGAAAATCTCAGGCTCTTTGCTTCCTCAGCTTTTGCAAGCTCTGCTGCCCAGCAGGCATGCTGCTGCTGTCCCACTACAGCATTCACTGGATTAAAGTGTTCCCAGCATCTCTCAGATGCCACAATGCCTCTATTAATCAACCAGCAGAAATGTGTACAGACTCAGTGCTGCTAGCTAAGAAGCCAGGCTTGGAGCATCTGAGAGTAATCAGACAGACATCACGACAGAGCAAATGAATTAATAAGCCTATTACCCCATTACCCATTGTATCATCGCAACCATTAAATTAATACTGTATTTACACTTTGCTCCCACACTCACTAAGTGACTTGATAGGCTTCCTTCCGCCTCAAAAACAATTAAACTGTACACTGATTTTTCCTTCACGGTGTAGTTAAAAGCAAGAGACGATCCTTGATGTTGCAGGATGAAGTGAAGGCTCTGTTGCTCTCCATTCAGTATTAAATGTGAGTACTCATCCGGGTTCTGTGAATAAAACAAACTTAGTTATTTGCTTTTTTTTCACGTGATAAAGGATCTTGCTCTTCCCACCAAGTGCAACCCTACCATCTCTTCATGGAATTCTGTAAAAGGTGGTAAACAGTCAAAGCTGGTGAAAAGCTTTCCTTCTGCATCAAAAGACCTACATCAACCTATAGGCTTCAGGCTGGTCAAGTCAGAGCTCGGAGTAGTTTCTTCTGCAAGATGTAACTCAAACACCAAAGAACCTTCTGCACATGTAGCTACCCTTTCCCTGGCCCCAATCTGCCTCAATGGGACTCCATCTAGAATGTGGCAGGCAGCTGGTGGCCAATGGACTGCCATTCTGGCTCCCAAACTAGGCTGACCTGAAGTCATCTGGAAGCAGAACTGGGAAACAAATTGCAGTGCCCATACCCAGCTTTGTGCCTTCCCATTTTTCTTCTCCTTTGCAGGTAAATACTTTTCATATGCTGTTCAGAGCCCAACAGCAATGCTTAGTTAGTATTTTAGCACTGCGAGACGCCAGCTGAATGCCTCATACTGAGACATTTATTCTTTATTCCTAATTCTAGGACAATATCATTAGACATTCCTCCCTTTGTCAAGCAAGTACTTCTCCAAACATTCCACTTCTATCTGGTTGGAGATGGTGTGCTCCATCTCTAAAGTCATTCCCATGCACTTCTAAGAGGCTGGAGAACAAGTCATAGCATCTGTGATCTTTATTGGAAAATGCCAGAAAAAAGCCCACCCTTTTTCAATGGGATGCAGGTCAAGCCTTCCATCCCCACACATGTACTTACCTGGAAAGCCTCCACTGGCTGCTGAAATAGGTTCTGGTCTTGGATTGTCACTTGAACTGGGTTCTTTGCCAAATTCAGGACCTGAATTAAACTTTCTTTTGGGACGAGTTGAGGCATATCGGTTTCCTAATTAAAATAAAAGGCTTTAAGTGCCATCCATATGCTTTATTAGCACTTTAATAACTTCATTTTCAGTTATAATAGTCTTCCTCTCTGTAATGACACTTTTCCATCCTTTCCTCATCAGAAGTTGCGCTGAGTGAAAACTGAACATAAATCTTACGAGGGGGGGAATCTAATAGTTCAATAGCCAACCTACCAACCTTCCCAAAGACTGCCCCTTGCATCACCGAATGTACAGGCTGCACAGCTGCTGAGAAGATAGAACAATATCCCTGCTTTCACTATGCAGCTCACACGTGCCATATCAGAAAGGAAAGAATTCTATGACCAGAATAATTATTTTCCCAGATTGCCCAGCCAGAAACTAAGTTTTGAAAATCCCAGTCCAGCTCCATGACTGTAAATGGTGCTTTTGCATCACTTGACACCATGCTTCATGCCAAGCACAGATCTCGCTTCCTGTTTTCTAAGAAAGGAAAAACAATGCCTGCAGTACAGAGGAACCTCATTCTGTCAGGAATCATTTCCTAGAAAAAGAACTTCAATCAATATCAGCCTTCTGCTATCTGCAATCTAAAGCCATTAATTACCTTTTTTTCCTCACATTCTTTTAATAAGTAGTTGCCAGGAATACTTCAGAACTATTATTTTTTTCCATTTTATCCTGTAATTTGGGAAGCAAGCAGGGTAGATTGAACCTATCCTGGAGGAGAGATACTGTCAGAAAAGACAAGGTGTCACTGTCTTCCATGAACCCATAGCTGCACTGGACCAACAGGCCCTGTATGAGTATCCAGCAAATCTCATTAACGCAACTTTTCATTTGCACTGCCCAAAGTGGGCTGCTATATGCTGCTCTTTGCTAGAGCTTTTAATGGCTTTCAGGGTAAAATTCCCATGCAGAGACAGGAAGAGCCTCTAACTCACTGTGTCCCTACCCTTAGGAGCTGCCCACAGCCAGAGCAGGCTTTCAGTGCCCAGAGAGAGCTGCTGCGGCTGACAACAAGAGCATTTTTTCACTCATGAAAAAAGATCAGAAAGGAGAGCTGAACCCACAGTCTTTTTTCAGTAGAAGATCTGTCAGTGGATTCACCTGAAGAACTTGCAAATGTTAATCCAGGGCTGTGTGCCAGCCACTCTGTAACAGAACACTTTAAGTATACATGGAAGCTTTAAAAATTAATCCTACAGTATCTTCCTCAAGCCAAAGGTTGGCCAAAGTTTGCACAAAGCCGGGCACTTGCCAGAAACAAATGGTACAAATCTGCAGGGGCTAACACTGAGTTTACAAGAGATTTGTTGGCATCCTGTCTGGGGATGCACGGCCAACGCTGATGTCTGTGACTGTGGAAGTGGCTGCATTCACTTCCATCAATAGATAATGAATTTGTTGCATAAAGAACAGATCCCCAGCCTGAAGTAGGAAAGGAATGAAATAAATAAATAAACAGTAAAATACAGAAAATCTACAGCAAGAAATAGAAGAGAACAGACTATATTTTGGGAATTAATCACTCGCATTAGCCAGGTGTCTGCCAATCACTGATGATAGAAGCCTAGAAGACAGATCAATACAGATGACAGGTATAGTAAAACTACAAAGACCAAAAAAGAGACAGAGTCACAGAAAGAGACACGTAGGCAGAAAGTAAGAATTTAGCAACTGGATCGGCATGCTTAATTGTAAAGAACTCACTGAAGATGACTATCAAGGAACAAAATTGGTAAAAAGATTATTCAACAGACATTAATAAAAACATATCAGGGAAAGCCAAATATTTCTGAGGAATCATTTGTGCTATACTTACATTTATTTTGACTTCTACAATGGCTGCTAGTCCAAATGCCATCCCTGCAAGGATCATACCTGTTGCCATTTTCCTAATAGGTCTATGGAGCAAATGAAAGAGGTACCATTGAGAAAAGAAAGTAATTTAAAATATAGAATACAATTCCTCAGAGACTAAGAACGTGCCAAAACCACATATTGAACTGTCCAACAGGTGGCACTGGGAATGATGTGCTGTTTAAATTGCCAATCATTTAACTTAAAACTATTCTATTTTTCTGCATCAGGCTAGCACTGAGGCCAATTAAAACTGGTATGCCATGAAAAAAGTTCTATGCTTGCAAGTTTCATATTGTCTTATTCCTAGCTCATCTAGTGGGAATAGCTCATGGCATTATGTTAACCTGCAATGTTGGAATGAGCACTAGAAATGATACATCTTCAAGTCTCTCCCGGGAAAAGCAAAAGATAAGTAGTGTGCTACTTAGCAGCAGGAATAAAGAGAAGAATAAATGTGTAGTTTATGTCATCAGTGTTTCTGACCATCCGTGTCATCACTCTGGGTTATTTCTCCTGCCAATACATCTGTGTTCCTAGAGAATAAGGAACATGCTTTGAAACTGGTGCAAAACAGAACAACTCTGCCAGAGCTATAGGAGACAATCTGATATAAAAAGGTATAGGATAGGTCCAGAAAGGCAGGTCCAAACTGAGTGCTGAACTGTTGAGATTTTAAACAAATACAGATCTAAACAAATACAGAATTCAGTGATTTCCAGTCTTTGTAATGGTCTGAATCATAGTCCAGATGGACAGGGGTCTGAGAAATCCAGATTATGAACCTAAATTCTGTCTCTCAGTTATATGGTCTGTTACAAGAAGATTACTATTGTTTGCATCTTGGGATAAATAATGTGATTTTGACGTTGAATTGTGCATTGGGATTGTGTTGCATGAGCTTCTGCAGCCACTCAGGCTAAAACCTTGCAGACTACAGGATATCCACTGCCACATCCATGGCTGAACTGGAGAGGGGCCTGTCAGTATCTAGCATCCAGGGGGCAGAAACAGCATGACATTCCATTCCGTTCAGTGCCTGGGTCTGTGCTGCTGGATGAAATACTCTGTGAACCTGTCATCAGACAGGAAGCTTTCTGCCAAGTAAGGGCTTGTGAAGCCAGTCTCCCACTCATCTCCCCATTACACACTTTGGTGTTGGAACATGCAAACTTGGTTCACTTCAGCTGCAGCTGCACTGGCTGAGGCACTCCGACAGTGCACATAATGTATTCCCACTGCTAAAGCACATCAACTCACAGACTATAGAGACTCAGAAGTCAAATCTCCCCCCAGAAGCATACACTGGTCCCCAGATACAACTGTTTTGATCTAGAGGTCTTCTCCTATAACACTGCACTTCTTAGAGAAGACTTATGATAGAACACTTGGGCTACTGTGAAAACTCCCTTCTCCACTGGCCCCTATCTTGGTGGGAATCTGCCTTCACAAGACCACATGTAGCCCAGGCAGGACAGCAAACACAGTTGCTGCAGGTAGGGAATTACTTCGCAGCAATACAGGAGATAAGGAGAAGGACATATTGATCAAATTTAAAGACTGTTCATACTGGCTTTCAGGGAAAACCTGATGACAGAGCAGAAACCAACATCAGTGAATTTTCCCCGCTGGAATTTCCTTGGCCTATGGAAAATGGCGACACTGCCAGAGAGGCTGAAGTAGAGGCAAGTGCTGTAAAGCACAAGTATAGAAATTTGTGTTCCTTCTCCTTAAAAGCTATTCTTCTACACACTGGCTGCAAAACAGTAAGAAATGAGGTATCCATGTCGTCCCAAGTACTTACGTGAAATTAAATTTGCACATGTTTATCAGAGGATAGAGCCCAAGGTCAAAAATCGGGATGAAGACAAGAATTAGAAGTGGATTTAAGAACTGCAATACAAAACAATGGGAGTTCAGTGACTAGAAAGCAACTTTTAGTAATTAAAGTCATAAAGCAATGCCCTCCAGAAATAATTCCATTACAGAAAGGACACGAACACTTAAAAACCTCTTTTTAAACTACAATCATAGTTTGTTCTTTGATGGTTTCTGCCATTTAGGTTTCACAGGCACAAATATGTTTTGTTCACACCCTCCTCCCCAAGAGGTAAGCAAGCATCATTGGTGGAATTTCCCTGAAGAGAGAATTGAAGCATTATGTTTTCAGAGAGTACAAAACCCACTGAAATAGAGGCAGGCAACTTTAGGGGCTGTGTTTGGTGGCACCTTACAACAGATCAACAATAATGGAAACAGCTTGGGACTTGAGCAAAATCTCAGAGGAACAGGCACTATTTTGTGTCTGCCACTTTTTCATACTTCCACACAGCATAAAAACCCCCTAGGAACTGCTTTTCTCCTGGGAGGGCAGAACTTGTCTGTCAGTCAGAAGTGGCACAGCAAGAAAACAGAGCAATGAGAGAACAAGCAGGGAGAGATGCTCCATTTCAGCTTTGAAGGAAGATTTTAGGGAAAGGAACAGCTTTGAATTTCTTCAGAGCTATTCAGCATAAGAACTGTAATCAACTGTGACAACACAGCATCATCTCAGAGCCTTCATATTTTCATTTGCCCTGCAGGAAGGGAGAAAGGAAACATATTTCAGGTAAAAGGCTGATCCCAGTGCAGAGATGTGTTAAAAAAAGACAATCTGTATCTCCCATATGCCAGCACTAGTTCAAGAAATATTAAGGCGTCATGTTCTCCCACACCTCTGCATTATGCTTGTGTTATGACATCCTAGAGATCCTCTGAACATCAAGGTTAAGCTTGCTAAACAGCTAGTGTGCAACAAGTAAGAGTCAACACCACACTAGCCAGCAGGACCACTGCTATTACCTTTGAAACGAGCAGAGAAAGACCACTGGTCCCATGACAAAAAAAAAAAAAGAAAAAAGAAAAAAAGAAAAAAAAAGAATGAGAGAGAACAAGAAAATATATTTCTACAGGGTAATTTCCTACCCTGTAGTATTTTTACCTGCATTTGGTCAGGCTGAAGGACATATATTCCCTGAAACAAAAAGATATGGCAGGTGATTCGTAAGCATGATCATATAAGAGTGCACAGCATATATGGCTGGTGGCAAACAAGCAACCAGCTCACAGTATAGTTTTCATCAGCAAAGGTGGTTTCCTCAAATTCCTTATACTGGCTTTAGCAGCTGACGTGCTTTTGACACTTGTCATCTAAAGACAGAGAATTTGATGAGGATCATTTTGCAGAAGGAAACTACACTCAGGCCTTGATATATGGCATTTGGGACATGGCCAGGACAGGTACTGAGTCCCATCTTTCAGACTGGCTGAGCCCAGGACTAGGTGAGCGGTGAGGAATGGGAATGTCAGTTCTAAGCTGGGACCTGGATTTTGAGCTTACTCCCTCTGCTTGTCTAAAGGAAAAGCCCAAATCCTGTAAGTGAATGTCCTCATGCTTCAAGACCCCTGCGCTGTGATGGCATTTGTTGCAAACACCTCAAAAGGATAACAGAAGATTACCCTTGAGCCGGTAGGCTGTACCCCATCTACTACCCCCCATCTACTCCCTCCTTTTGACAAAGGCACCAAATGGGCTTTGGTCAGTTGTTCAACTGTTCTTGGTTTAAGCCAAGAGAACTTGAGGCTGTAACAGCTGCGGTATCCTTGCACCACCATGTCTTGCCCCTGCAATTGGGAAGGCCATCAAGGATAGACAGAGGGATCTCAGTCTCCAAAAGTGACAGATGAGCTGTCTCCAGGCAGAGGCTGGCGTTTGTCTGAACTTCACACAGCTTTTCATTTGAAATTAAGATGAAGAGAAAGGGGGAAAACATTAGGAAGAAAATAATATCTTTCCGAGAAAGCACCGTGGGGATTTGCCTCCTGTCTGCCAGGTTCGTCCTGAGCTGAATATAGATTGCCTACCTGTTTCTGCTGGCAGCTGCCTCCTAGGAGAGTGAAAAGCAGTGGACAAAGCAAAGGAGCTTTGCAATTAATAGCATCAGGCAAATACCTTCTTCTCTCACTACTTTGTGTACAAATATGCCACTAGAAAACAAGCCTGCAAGCATTTCATGTCGCTCTAAACCATTCCCTGTTAATTCAGTCTCCCTAGCTGAGCACTTTGGCTTGAGAGCAGAAACACGGAATTTTGCAAGCATGATCTCCAGCAACCCTAATGAAGAAATCAACCCAGTGTTGCAGTTAATTCTCACCTTCATGAGCTGGGGCAACTCACTAAGGCTCAACAAGACTGAAAGAAGCCAAAAACCCATTCAAGCAGGTAGAACTAATATGTACTGGTTTCTTCTCCACCAGGGAGAGTTTAAAAAATGACTCCTGGTGATTCTTAGATGTTCTGCTAATGGATCACTAAGTGTGTGTGAGCACAACAGCAGAAAACAAAGTTTCTAGATACACGTCACAAAGACTTCATGAACTTTCATTGTTTGTCCTTCTGGAGTGGATAAAATATTACAAGTGGTGTAGTCTTTTTCATGCCTCATTTGAATTAATTAAGCCTAATGAGTATCACATGCTGAGAGCAAAACTTTTTAAGAGGAAGAACTCAAATCTGGGGCCTTACAGTGATTTTAAATTGTAAAATGGGCATTTACCATCTTAAATTCTGATATGAGTATCTGCAGGTAAGATCTAGATGGCCTATTAAATACACTTCTGGAAACACTAAGTGGTGACATCATTAGCTAGACAGATGATCTACGGTCATCTGTCACTGCCTTCTGCTCCATTTGCCACTCACACCTTTGAAGTACTTGATGGCTACTAATTCATCCTCCCCACATTTCGACCTTAAGCACAGGGATTCCTGCTGATTCTTAGAGGCTTCATCAATGCATCACTAAGTAAGCCAGAGCAGAAGTATACAATTACAACATCTCTCATTATACACAAGGGCTGTGTGAACTTTATCTGACTTTCTTGTCTTGAGTGGGGGTCACAGAGCAACCAGTTGCCAGTACGTCAGCACTCCTGACATTACAGGCTGCCAGTGGCTCCCCAGCCCTTGCTCCTTGCCAAGATGTGCTATGATGAACTGCACATGGCCACATAGGGCCTCTCTCTTCTAATCACTGAAAGTGCAACTTATCCAGACTCATTAAGCAGAAGCCCTTACTAGCAAGAGAATTTGATTAAAAAGCAAGAGCAGTGATATTACTGCTAGTCTTATCCCCAGTGACATTAAATACTTACAAAGTCAGCGTTCATCTTTGTAGCTTGCAAAGTCCACCTGGATCCCTAAGGAGAAAGCAGACAGCAATGTAGTTTGCATGATGTTCCATGGAACAGAGAACTTGGGGCTAGAGAAGACCACAGTGCTGGAGGTCTTGCAAAACCATTGCAGTTTTGTGCCATTGCAGCACAACCAGCCCCTAGGCACCTGATAGGAAGGTAGTGCACTGTGTCTCCAGGATACTCTGGTGTCACGCTGGCAGCACAGGGTGCAAATTCAGGCCTACAACATGCTGTACTGTACCTGCTGATCAAACAGGGCCCAGAACATTGGCAGTGGTAAGAAGAGAAAGAGAACGCGTGTCACCATTTTAACCTCCGCAATCAGTTGTTTCTATAAAGGAAACAGACAGAAAATTAAGATGTGAGGACAAACCGACAGGGGCTTCAAGCTACAAACTACAAAGCAAAAGAGCTCCTATGTTTTTCTACACAACAGTTTCTCACTGCATTTATTCATGACCATAATTGCATTTCTGCATTTCAGTGCAGCACCTCGACTGTCCATTAAGGGTCAGGAGAGTACAGATGTGGGAAAGGACAGGGCAAGTGAGGAGATGCATATGAAGAGTGGGGTGGCCAGGCCAGTCCTAAGTCTGCCTGACTCCCTTTTCCCTTCCAATCCTCCCTTGTAAAACATCACTTACCGAGTACTGTTCTGATGCCCAGTCAAGCCAGTGATCTCTCCTTGGAATCTGACGGGAGCGATTTTTCAGCCTGTTTTTAATAGCAAACTAAGGAGAAAAACAGGTGAATAACTCCCTCATGCCTACCCCCCTAATTTAAATTTTCCATTTCTGAGGTCTTATTCGTCTGCCCTTGTCACATTCCCAGCTTAAAACTGCCCTTTCCACCCCTGGAGGTATATATCATGGGGGTTCTGATGGACACTTCCAAAATTTGCATATGCACAACCAGATGCATTAGAACCAATTCTCTGCAGGAATGTTTCTGTGACACTGATTGATTAAAGGTGTGATATGTGAATGAACTACCTCCAGAGCTTGTCCTCCACAAGCAAACCCAGTGTTAGCCTCCAACGTCTGTTTTTCTTGATTTAAAACCTGATATGTGATAAAGCTTTGAACATCATTTTTTCTTCTTTTCTGAAGGGCACTTGTTGGACTGACCACAGTGCTGGGGAGGAAACACTTCCTTATTCACACCAATATCAAAATCAGAACTATCATTCCTTTCTTGTTGTGTAGGTCTTTCTTTGCATATTTCTGGCGCGGCCCATTCAGCCCTAGAGCAGCTTTTAAATTGGTTTCTCACTGCAGGAGAAATTAGTGACACCAAATTTTTAACTTGTTTGTTCATGCTTCTTGCTCCAGCCACTGAACAGACCGGCAAAAACAGTGGCAGCCTCCCTTAGAAATCCTGTCCCTAAGATCTGGTCTGTTTCCCCAAGGTAAATCTGTTACTAGCATTAACCTAGAGAAAAAGAAAACATTTGCTGTTTGCAACAGGTCCTGAACAAGAAACACCAATATCCATCCAAAAACAAGACAGGATTTCTCATACACTGTAGCCAGCTCACACACTATGAAAAATAGTTGATAAGCTATACTGAAATTGTAGAGTAACTTAATGTGCATAACATGAACATGTAATATTACAGTCTGCTGGACTGATGAACTTCAGTAAAATTGTTCACCTGAAAGAAATTACATTTCTCAATTTTTCTTTCAGCCCTTACCAGCAAACCCCACCCAGTGTTTTTACTGGCATTAGCTGAAGATGTGGAGCTATGGAAAAACAATTGAAATGCTGAAGAATAAACTGGGACATAGATGTGTTCCTTATTCCTTACAGGTCAACAGCAAAATATCTAGCCAGGAGCAGCATTCAGAAGGATTCTAGATGTCACTTCCCCATTCCCCTTGCACTCTTCTGACCTGCAGCCTCAGAATTACGCATGAAGAAGAGAGAATGGCACACACTTACTCCAATGCATTTGCACACTTCAAGTAAGACGTTTCCTTGTGGTGGCGTTTTTCTGTACAGTCCGCTTCCAGCTATAAACACAACTGAAAAAGATTATACTCCAGATGAGAATTTACATGACTGAAACTTAATCCCGCTCTGTTTTCTGGGGAGGAACCCTCACCCTCATATTCAGCAGAAATCCTCTCCCTTTGAGGCTTACATGGCAGTACTTTCATCAAACCAAACAAACGTATAGGGCTCTGTTAATGACTTCAAACTGAAAAAGATCCTACAAGAGGCAATGTGATTCCTACAAAGTGACTTAAAAACCAATCCACTTTTAATTGCTGATGTTGATGATGATGATACCTGTGCATGAAACTAGCCCCAGATCATTGCAACCACCACGTGAGGATGAATCCAAATCCAACATGAGCTTTGTGTACTTGCACTTCGTGCACATTTAAATGACGTTAAGAGAAATTACCTTCACTCATGGTTTCTGTGAAGGGATGTGCAATTTAAGGTATTGTGTTCTCCCTCAAAACACAAAATAGATTAGCAAGGCTTCAAAATATTGTCAGAGTTGGAGCTATCCAATTGCAGATCATTTGCCCTGTTCCTTGAGAGCCTTTGACTACATTGCAATTCCAAAAGCATTACCAAGGAGAAGTACAATAAAAGCTGAGCACAAAATCCATGTAACAAACCAACCAGTGGAGAAAAGTACGTATTTTTCTCACCTGGATGTTCACCATTTCCTTTTTAGGACTATGAACATCCAGTTTTGACTTTCAGAACTGCCAGAGAGGTGTCTGAAGTCAGTTTAGGTGAATCCCAACCAAAGACAATCGTCCAAAGTCATAGAGTGGGTAACAATGCTACTTCATTTTTAGCACGTCTATGTGGAGTTATTGGTGCCTTCCCAAAGGTGATTCACCTAAAGGTGATTCATTAAGTTTGCTGAAAACATCTCCTGGCAATTCCATTGACCCCACTGGGAACTGAGGTTCCTGCATTAAAATAAATGATGTCAGTCCTCTCCTGTATTTCAGACACTGAAGCAGCTCAGAAAATCTTGTCGTGTAAGATGCCCATTCTGCCTCTAAACTTTCTTTGCTATCCAGCATCATGGGAAGGGGATTGGTCAGGGCTGGAAGAGTACGTTCTCCAGTTCTGCAAGCTGCTCACATAGTTAAACACATCACATCCAAGAAAACTCCAATATTTTACAAAAGTACACAGAACTGCTTTGCTGGGCAGGCTATGGAATCTGGCAGCAGGACACTAGCTAAAAACACATTGCAACTGATGGCCTCACTGGAACTGTAATAGTTACATGTCCATTTTTCCCTGGGCAACTACTACTATCTTGTTAGAAACATTCATCACATGGTGCTGCACAGAGGAGCTTATGCCGCACTGAACCACTAAGAATGGACCATGTGGGAAAACAGGAGCTACTCAGGCCTGTGACCACGCACTTTTTTGGAAACATAATTGCTGTAACATAGGTTGTGAACTGATAACATTTTCCCAACGCTCTGATCCTTCTCTAGGATGGAAGTTTGACAGGGAAAAACAACTTATGCATTCTCTGGAGGATGAACTTTCCAAATCACAGATGCAATTCATACAATTGCACAGTCTCTCAATTAAGGTAACATGTTGAATGAGAAGTCAACCCATGCTGTGTTAAAAGCTCTCAAATGCAGTATAATAAGGGGACTGCTCCCCTGCAGCAGCAAAACTAAAGCTAATGGGGTGTCCCTTATATTGGCTACTGATGAGTAACTGTAAGAATGCAGAAATTGCTGGGTATTTGATAGGGGTTGAAGAAGTCATCTTGACAGTACATTAACAGGCCTAAGACGCAGGCTTTAGGAAGCAGGATGATTGCAGCTCGCTCCTGATTCTAGGGCAATGAGGGCTTATCATTGCAACATAATAATAGGCTGCCACTGTAATTGTGGGAATAACTTCAGCCAAGCAAAGTGAGAAATGAATAAAGTGGCATCTCATTCAGCTTCCCTTTCTGAGATTTCTGTGCAGTAAGCATTCTGAAGCAAAAGTGGATGGCCTCAAGCTACAAAAAAAACTGTGGAAAGGTTAGAAGTGGCATACTAAGCTTCTCTTCTGTAAGTTGGAGTACTTTGAGTACTTCTATAGGTAGCGCTCAGATGGCAGCTCAGAGGCCTAACCTGCTCACAGACAGGGCTGTAGCACATCAAAATTACTTTAATGCCTTCATTTGTTATACAGAACAACCATCTTCTCACCAGTATCATGATTTAGGACTGCAGGATGACCACAATCTGCCCATCTCTAAGTGATCCAAGTGTTTTTTCTTGTTGATCTGAACCATGGAACAGTTGGATGAGTTTGAACTCTTGAGCTTTCCATCATAGCATCCATCCAGTGCTGGTGAACTTGTGCATTTTCTCATCCACATGCAGACTTAAAAATGATAACTACTGCTAGAATCACGGTGGTTTTCACTCACCAAGTGCCAGCACCATCAGTGCTGCTGGGACACCAAAAGCCAGTGCATAACAATCCTCTCCAAAACATTTCACATCCCCTAAAAAAGAATTCAGAAAGAAAAGCATCTCCTTATTATCAGCCTTACGTTACCTGGGTTTTTGATTTGCTTCTCTTAGATCAGTCACTTGGTTTGGTTCTAAATCTTCTTTGCTGTTGCTGCTTGACACTACGAATTGAATTTCCTTGAAACAGTTGTCCTCACTTGACGAGGACAATTTGGAAGCTGGGCTAGTGTCTGCCAGCAATAGAAGCTGATAATGGGATATTGATGAGAATAGTACAAGGGAGACAAATAGGTAGAAAGCAGTGATAAGAACTGTAATTTGGAAAGAAAAAAAAAAAACAACCAAACATTTAAAACACCCTCAAATCATTATACGTTCACATAGATCTAAACAATCAGTACTGTGTTTCCACAGTATCTGTGCCAGCTGCATGAGTTATATTATATTTCATTGTGATCTACAGTGGACAAAGCGGCAGCAAATACCCCTACTCCTAAATAAGTGGCTGCACACGATTAGACTTAACACACTAGTTGCATCCCCAACACCTTTTCTCTCCAACTTCCTAATTTCACCAGAAGTAGCCAGGTCTTGCCCATCAAGAACCCAGGTTTGTTAGAGCACGGCTTTCACTGATCCGAGGTATGGTTCACTGAAACCCCGTGCCTTTCAGCATAGTTCACAGCACAGGAGTTCAGAAGGCCAGTTGCAAACTAGCAGTGAAGTCTGCATCTGCATGCCAGTGGCTACAAATTACTGCGCTCTTGCATAGAAAAAACAACAAATAAGTTTGGCTAAAATAAACAACAGAGTTAACAGGAAACCAGCTCACGAAGCCTTCTGTTGTCCCCATTTGCTGTCTCTGGGCAATCATGACCAATTGCATAACTGTGTGTGGTGCATAACATTTATTTGCTTATTTTCATAAATTAGCTGAAATCCAACAAAGCTGGCAGCAAGATATTATGGACACACTGAAATGTTAACATACAAAGTGAGCTGGACTCCTCCACCTGAAAACATCTATTCCATGTTTTTGCCAAATATCTTTGGACTGTACTACTTGTTTTTTCCAAGGAAACCTTTCATACTCAACAGAAATTTTACTATCCCCATCCTCTCCTCCTCATTTCCACGTTGCAACCAGTTCACTGTTATGTTGCCTTGGCACAGGTTTTTACATTCCAAGGGAATCAGATTTTCATCTGTGCAGTGATGGCACTGAGCAAAACCCCCTCCCAACATAAGGTTGACCTGGGTAAGGAGAGTATTCGCTTCAACATTTTGGTGAGATATAAGACAAGCACAACTGCCCACAGCTTTGTGAAATGAACAGCCTGATGAAATGAATACTGCAAATAAAGAAAGCTTCCTGAAAGCCACAGGACAGAATGAAAAAATTACCAGTGTGAATGTTACCTAGTCCTGCCTCCAATCCCTTTGCCTGTGGTCTGCTGCCTTCCCTCTGCATCTGTGCCTGTATTTATAGCATGCCAGTCCCCTGGTTTCCAGGCACTACAATACAACGAAAGAAGTGCAGCAGGGACAGAATGTAAAGTAGGTCCTAAGTGGGGCAGAGGCCTGTGCTTTGTTCTCAAGGGTAATTGCTCAGAGCTGCAGTCTTCCAAGCAGACCCATGCAGACATGCTTGGGTGGCAGGACTGAGTCCTCCCACAGTCAGCAGTGGCAGGACAGTATAGGATTCCACATCCATCCCTACTAAACCACTCAGTCCTGATGCCTGCCCAGGGCATCAGATATCAATTCCCATCCACAGGTTACCTGCAAGCAAGGCAGGGATCAATACCTCACTGGACACAAAAAGAATTAGATGACAATTCAGATCTTTCCACCTCCCATATTTTAATTCTGCAGTTCGGGCTGGCATTGAAATACAACTGGGAATATGGTTTTTGTGACTTGCCTGCTGCTAGCACCATAAATCTGTTACGCTGCAATGGCAGGATTAACAAGGCATAAATGCAATACACTGACCAATCCAGAGATAATATAATTTCTGCCATTCAGTTGTCATAAGAACCTAACAATGCACAGCGGAGTAGCCAGAGGGCAGCTAATTTATTGTTTTACTCTAAATCAACACTGACCTCTTAATACAGGCGTTACAAACGTGGAGATCAAACTTCCAGCATTAATGGATAAATAGAAGACGGAAAAAAACTTGCTTCTCTCAGAGGTCTAAAACAAGAGAAGACAGTATCAGTGTCACAGCTAACACAGAGCATCAGGCTTGCAAATTCAGTGCTATCAATTCTCTTGTTAGGAAGACTGGGTAAATGTTGACACGAAGTGCATAAAATGTTAGGCAAACAAACTTGCCTTCAGGTGATGGTAAACGCTCACACAAATCATCTTACTTGAGATGCACTGTGGGGCTTTTTGGCATTTCAGAGGAAAAGCCACTGCTTTGAGACTGTTGTGAGATTGGAAAGGGGAGAGCATCTACTTATTCAGGTCCTTTGTCACCTAATTCAGTACAGCTAGGCACAGCTCAACAAGATCATCATGTGTTCCCATGTCTGAGCTCTTTTCTCCCCTCCTCTCTTCCCATTAAAAAAAAAACAAAAAAAAAACAGAAAAATAAACCTATTTTGAGTTTATACAAGCAAAGATGAGAGAGTGGCAGCAAATGAAAAGAATCCATAAGACAGGAGATTATCAATCTGAGGTCTGTCAACATCAGACTAATAGGGGAAATTAAATCTATCGGGGCATATTCAAGAGCTCGGAATTCAACAGATGGTGCAACACATTGGAGTTCGTACAGTTAAAGGATTCTTGCTGACCTTCCTTCCTCCTACATAATTTCCAGTTTGGAAGGAATCAAGAATTTGACGCAGATTTTGGTGCTTTTCACAAAAGTAACACATGAAGGCATTCAGTCAAATGCAGTCCCTCCTTGCATGCACTGGACACACTCAGAGACACGCACTAACAGTGCTAAACTTTCTCCCTGTGCCTGGGCTGGCAGAGCAGAGACAGAAGGCTACCTGGCCTACACCACGTTCATCTGTACCACCAGCTGTGGGATATCTCAGTTGGTGAAGCTGGCATTTAAAGACAGTCCAAGCCTAGACAGCCAGTGTATTTCATCAGTATCTAGGGCTTCACTCCCAGCTGTGACCAGGTTCTACAATGGCAGTGGACAAACTGGACACGGCTCAGTGCATGGCAGCAAACTCCCCAGGGCACCTTGAGCCACATCTCTACGACCTGAGCATGGTTTGAATGTGAAGCTTTAACTCATGTGTGAGGAAGCTCCCCACAGGTGTTGTGGTCGTGTTCCCTTCTGCTCCCTGAGACAACAATATTCACAAGGTTGAAAAACAGGATTAAAAAGTAAAGAACTGCAGATGAGGACAACTTTTAAGGAATCCAGCCTGAGATCTCAAGGTGTACTAAAACTTCCTTATTATACACATTTATAGATTCAAGTGGTGGAAAAAAATGATCAGAGTAGCAGAAGTGAGTACAAAAATAATAGACAACAGCTTGCAATTTACACTGATTGGGAAAAAAAAAAAATACTTCCCTCCTTCCTTTCTTAATCTTTGGAGCAGACGTACATTAATAACATGATTTGGATTAACTAATTAGAGAAAAGGTACTGTACATGATAATCCTGATCTCCTTGGCAACAGCAAAACAAAGAAACAAAGAGAAAGCTATTTAGTACCTTAAAACCCACACCGCACTGTTTGAAAGCAGCTTTGGTCCTTAATTAATATGCACAGCAGCCTGTGCATTCATGTAACATATTGTAGATATCATTTTATTCAGGCATTTTTAGTCTGGACTGCTAATCCCATAGACAAGGGTACTTGGAAACCTGCAGACAAATCTACTTTCTCTATCTGAGCTCCTGATGAATAAGTCTCCATCACTGTTTGTAGTACTACAGTTCTGAAAGTGGCAGAGCCTAGAATTTACAAAGTACTCTTAAGAAAACCAGGCCAACAGTATGCCTATGCCTCAAAAGTTAGCTTTATCTCCACAAGGAAACCACAGGAGCAATCTACTTATTTACTTTATATGCAGACTACCACATCCCTCATTTCCAGATGGAACAACTAAACCCATGCACTTAAAGGTCCAGCTGAAATTTATTGGTGTCTTGAAAATTGAGGGGGAAATCAAGTTTTTCATCTCATTTGGAATTTTTAAAACTTACTTCACTCTAGCTAGAGTGGAAGACGAAAAGCACAGGGAGCCTTCCCAAACAACACTCCAGAGAGAAAAAAAAGTTCTGGTTGGCTCTAAATCTTTCATCCCTTACAAAATCAAAACTTCCCGTACTGGTTTTGAAGACTTATATTTCCTATCACATACATAAAACCTTTCTTTCTCTTCTTTTGAAGGGAAAAGTCATTTCAAAATGGTAAAATACAAACTTTCTATTCTGAAAAGAATGAATAGAACAGAACATATTGTCCTTATCAGAAGGCTTTTTACAGTTTCTTTTTCTAAATTAGTTTCCCTTGAAGGCAACACAAGGGAATGCCTGAGCCTTAGCATTTGATAAATTTGTTGGAGAGGTGCAGTCTGACTGCTGGAGAATAGGCACAGGCCCACACCAACAATGAGCAGTTCGGGTTTTTCTCTGTAACCGAGCTCTAATGGTAAGCTCGGGATAATAATAATAATATGTGCCTGACTGGGATGCTGAGATTCATTAGCTGAAGTCTATAAAACACTCTGAAGATAAGTGGTACATATTATCATCCTGTAATTAGGTGGTAATTGAAAGATGCTGGATAAATATTATTAATCATTAATATTCATAGAAGTAGCACTTCTGAAAACGCTGCTGTAGCACCTGTTACAATCCCTGTGGGGGAACCATTCGCACTGCAACCTGAGATGCCCACATGCTGGTACACACACACTGCATCCCCAGAGCAGTGTGCTGCACTGCCAGCCAGAGTTGTGGTGACCGCCTCTGATCGCTGCTTCCCCTTCTGCAGCATCCTCTAAAGCACCAGGTCTGACAGGCAGCACAGCACAGGATGCACACACCTCCAGAAGGATCTGCTTGTAAGATTCACCACTTTAGTATCATGTAGCTGATGTGAAGCCTTCTCTATGTTTTAAAATACGTATTTTAGGCTGTTTTATTTATCCATTAAATGCGAACTGCACGGTGGGACATTGCAGAAGGCAAACAAACTGCTTTGCAGAGCTTGCTTCACCAAGGCCAAGCGGCCATCCCTTATCCAGCTCCATCAAAGGCTATTCTGATAGGTCTCTACTGGAATGTCCTTATTCAACACCTATTGATGGGGATTTCCATCTTCTAAAGGTCTTCCAAAATCTTTCTCAGTAGGTATATTTCTGGATATTTTTTTCTAACATACAATACTAAATAATCCTTAGTGGATTTAGCCTGCTCATCACAAATCCACTTATTTTCTGCCTTGTAGCAGTGGCCTTCTATGACTTCTGATATGCACAGTAATAGCTGAAAGTAGTACATTCTGACCCATTTCACTTCTTCAGGTGCTACCTTATTCCTGATTTAGCCACTGGTTTACATAATGGGAATTTGAGACTGATTCATTACATGACATGAAGGCCAGTGCTAAGTCCTTGTGATGGAGAACAAGGACATGAAGAAACTGCATTACAATTCACAGGATGTAATACTAAAAAGAAACATTTTCCCAATTCTTCAGAACATTCTATTCTGGCATATCTAGAAAACATTCTGACTACACTGGGCAGAATAGAAGTACCTTCAAAAGGCAAGAATTTTGTACAGTTCTTTCTCAACAACAATCTAGTTTCTGTTTTGAGGGAAAATCTCAGCAGAGAGGCTTGCAACACAGTTTTCCTTTTTGTTTGCTGTACTGTGTTGCAGTGTGTTATAATCACACTTCTTAAGCTGATTCAGAAAAGGCAGTCTTTCTATGCTATACTATACAGGATCTTCCAACTCCTCCAGCTCAATTAATATTTGGATTATTTGATGCAATTATAACCTGATATCAATAGTGTTCTGTTGTTATTTCCCTTTCCTGAAGCATCTTGATTCTTTCAGGTCTCATGCAAACCATCCTACCTCACACCTTTTCGTAGCAAGTCATTCCTATGTAATTTCCCAGCAAACAGGCTCTAGTACAACAGAATCTAAAAATATGAACACCCTCATAAAATACCCAGAACTGCAGAGTTTAGAAAAGAAAATAAATCTTACATGTTCCTCTTCAAACTGGTCCCCACCAAATGCAGAGACACAGGGCTTGATACCTCCCGTTCCAAGGGCGATCAAAAACAGACCAACCATAGACAGGACCCTTCATGCAAGAACAAAAATAACACCATTGCAGAACCCTTCCACTGCTTAGGGGAACATTTTATTGTCACCCAACCATAATTCCTTTAGTATCACTGTCTCTTGCACATTGGCAGTGATGATGAGCCAGCTAACTGCAAACATTTACTTATTTATTTATCCTCATTTCTGCATTCAGCATAAGTCAATTAAAAAAAGTGTTTGTCAGTTTCTTGCTGTTTGGAGGCCCACTAAATGTACCAGACATCAAAGATCCAAGGGACTATTTTTCATTCATCTGAGAACAAAAGGCTGCAGAAATCAATTGAGAAATGGAAAATTAAAACAACAAAAAAAAATCCTTTGCATGTAAGACTTCCGGTCTAGGTAAGTGAAGAAATTCTGTTTGAATTAGGCTCTTGGGTGCTTTCCACTTCCCAGCACTCCTCAAAATCCCACTGTTGATCCAAAAGATTATTGATTATTTCTGAGTGGAACAGGAGTGTCAAGACAGGTCAAATCGAGGACAAAAGAAAGCTGCTGTATAAACCAGATGTACTCCTGCCTGCATGCATATACTTTTAGTGCCAGGATCACCTCAGTAAAAACAGCATGGTTGTTTCAGAGATACCAGCTGGAAAACTACTCTGACATTCCTATCAGTTCAAAATCTAGAGGGCAAGAATGGTATTACCCTGCAAGTAACACATCATTCCTCTGTCACACATCAGAAAAATGTGTATTTGGGATTTAGTGTTCCCATGTACATGAGGGGACCTTGCTGAGCTGTATGGCTACGGCAATGAGAAAATGAGAGAAAAATGAGCTGGTGTGAGCAATCAGATGGAAGAGACCAAACTCCAGTAGCATAATGTAGCAGAGAAGCATGATCAGAAGTCTCTGTGACAAAAGGCTCAGTCCTGGTGATGGTTCCGAGCTTTTCCTGGTGAACTCACACTCTAGACTTCCCCTCCAAACTGCTGGCCTGATAGGGGTGAAACAAGTGACAGTCCTGGGTAAACCACCTACCACTGCAACCTACAAAAATATTCAGCTTCAGCAGCTACTTACACATGAACTGCCTGGTTGCCTAGGGATGGAATGGCACCGACTGACTTTATCAGATGGCCGACCACATACACAATGGAGAGGTAGATGATTGTCCTGTGAGCAAAGCAAACAGCAGTGACTGAAGGTGCTGGGTGATGCACGATCTGAAAACAGAGTGTGTCTGTGTTTCCTGATATGAAAGGTCTATTTGGCAGATGCACAAGGAATAGTTTTGTCCATATCCCCAGTACTGCAGACAGCTATAACTTTTACGTCAACATTTAGCACACTGGAAAAAGGAGATAGGCAAATGGATTGAGATTAGGGAAGCATAGACACTACTTTCTTTGGGGAGATTGCTGGGCAGAATAAGCTAAATGTTCCACACTGCAAATAGATGAGTGCTCTTCAGGTCCAACTCAGTTTCCAGACTACTAATAACTGGCAGTTTGTAGCATGCACTTAACTGTGCTGGAAGGAATCTGTAGGGACTGCTGCTCGCTTTCAACCCACCTTATTACTACATCCAAATTAGGAGTGTGGTTTTCCTGTTACAAGACTGAATTGAATCTCAAGCACCTCTGGAGGACTGAGCTCATCTATCTGCTTCCCACATCTTGGCAAGTGTGAGCAGGAAATCTGACCGGGGGGTCAGGCTTTTAAGTGCATTACATTGCTTCATCATCTTAAAGATTAAGATACATTTATGTATTTATGTGCAGACAAAACACTCACAGTAAAAACGGAAGAACTTGTTAGGAAAGAGATACTAGAAGAAGCCCTGTGATCTCCTCTAATCTGTTATCCTGTCCTTACTATTGGTTTAGCTATGGCAGCAAAAGCCACTATTTATAAAGACTAGGGGATTATTCCAAGAAAAATCTCTTGCCTAATGCACAAAAGTTTGCATAATGGTTTATTTTTTCACAACATCGCGCTGCAAGATAGATATCCTCAAATAACATTGAGTATTCTCAGGCAACTTCAAATAATGAAGTTAAAAAACAAACCAACTTTGTGTGCGTAGGTTTTTTCATTCAATAGGACAAGAAAATGACTAAGTTAAAGCACAAATTAAAAAAAGGAATATTGATATCTCTTTAAGAGCTTTCTGCTACAAAGGCATATTGCAGCAGTTTTTTTCCATGTAGAGACTCACACTGCCAGATGTGCTTAGACCTATAGGGAAGGGTTCAGCTGCACTTCATCACTAACAGCAAGACACCTCAGGCAGTTAGCAGAAAGTGCCAAGGAAAGAATGTCCTGTGTACAGCTGCTCACCACCACTCTGGGACAGATGGTGGCCCTGCCCTGCAAATTATCAGCCTAAGGGATGACTCCCTAATTTTCTCAGGGAGATGTTAGCTGGTTTTATACTAAGGGAGATGATCTGACTGAACCCAGGTTACTTTGGGATAAAAATAGGTGTGTTCATGCATTCCCTATGCTGAGAAAGCATGTGAAGGTACAGTTAGTGACATTTCACCTGAAACTAGTAGATTCAGAGGATGATACTGCTTCCTTACCATCTTTGAATCCATCTCAGTGACCGAACTTGGCAAGCTGAGGGTTAACCACCCTATATCATAGTTTTCTCAAGGTGCATGGAGAAGGAGGGTAGAGGAGCATTGTGCTCTGTGATTTAATTTATTGATTTGGATTGCATTGCCTATTGGCCATTGTGTGAAAGAGGAGCACATAACAGCATGAGCAAACACATTAGTTGTTCATCCATTTAGAGAAAAGCTGACCTTCACAAGTGTTTCTTTGCTGCATCCTGAGCTAGCTCAAAATCAGGAGCACAGGCAGCACTGAACCTCATGCAGGCTGTGCAGTGTGGACAGATCCTGTCTGAATTAGAGAAGCATCTACTTACTTGTATTTCCCCAACCACGAGTCTGCCATGATAGCTCCAATGACAGGTGTGAAATAACAGAGAGCAGAAAAGGCATGGTACACAGCAGTGGACAGATTCTCATCCCAGTGGAAGAAGCTTATGAAATACAGCGTCAGGACAGCTAAAAGGAAGCAAGCAAAACACATCAGATAATTGACGTGCTTCTCTGTGAGTAAGCAGGAAGCTACATCACAGTGACAAGGAAAACAGGGATTTGCATACCAACTATGAGCGCTGCTGTGGAAAAATCTGTGCTTACAGATCTATTCCTCATAATCCCTGACACAGGAAAAGCTCAAATGAGGTATGTGAGTATCAGGCTTCCCTTGTTCATAAACATTTATGTTTAGCTGGAAAATATATTTTCTAGCTTATCACATCTGAGCCTGTAGTTCTGTTTATGCATGATTTCTATTCGCAGATTAGGTGCCTGTATGATTCAATTCTCAGACACAGAGAATGCACACAACTGAAAGATATCACACACTGGAAAACAAGGTTTGAGACTGAGAATGATACAAAAATTTAGATTGGAAGTGACGTTGGAGGTCTCTAGTCCCAATTTCTGTTTAAAACAGGTCTAGCTTCAGCATCAGAGTGTGTTGTTCATGCCTAATATCCCAAAATACCAATTTACTTTTGAAAGACAATTGAGACCACATACAGCAGAACTCTGGAACACCAGGCCATCATGTACAGAAACACAAGGATGGGAAATTCTCTTCCCATGGGCCACGTACCTCTCATGCCATAATAGGAGAAGCGCTCGCAGAACTCGTTCACCACAATGAAGGCAATGCTCAGGGGATAGTTGGAACCACAGAGTTTCTAAAGGAAACAGAGCAGAACATATCAGCTTAGTGACAGCTTTCACCCCTGCAACACATCCACACAGCACCTGGGCAGCAGAGAGGACTCCAGTCTGAAACCCAGGTGTTCATAACTGCCTGGCTAGCCCGCAGCTTGAACTCAAGGAAGTGAGGAAACCTCACATCAATCCTTATTTTGGTTAGGGTTCCCTATGAATACACCTGGCAGACCCAGTAAGGAACAGTACAGGGACTCCAGCACTGCCAGCAGCCAACACCCGCCCTGCCCACAGCTCTAGAAACTCCTTTGGAAAGATCCTACTGCCTCTCTGCTGCAACATAACATCCCGCTGAGATGCAAAAAACACCTTCAGATGCATTTTTATCTATACTTCACACAGAGCTACTGCTCTCCCCTGAAACTGCTGCCTTCCCCAGCACCTAGAACATTGCTCCTTTCTCAGTGTCAATTGCCCTCAATCTCTGCACCTCAGTTACACCATCTTCACCACTGCATTCACTGCAGCAGAGCATCAGCCACAGCAGCTATTTTATATTCCAAGAATGCTGGCAGAGCTATGGATAATTCAATTTATTAAACAAAAATCAAACAAAAGAGCTATGCGCTTCTCAAACCTATCTGAGCCTGGCTACTTTTTTTATTGACATCAACTTCACTCCAACTATGATCTGCAGTTTCCAAGTGAAGTGCAAGGAATCTGAACAGCCAGGTCTTACATGACCTTGTGCGAGGCCCCCGTCCCTCTGCTGCCCACAGCGGTCCCAGCTAAACAGCTGGGAGCTCCTGGAAGCTGCTTATCTCCACTGCCTCCCACGAGGGACAGCAAGACTTCACAGCTCTGCCAATTAGTGGGAAAGACTGGCTGGGCGTACATGGGGTGAGGGACGGGGGTGTAAGACTGTCATCTGCATTCACGTCCAAGGTTTTAAACAGCCATGGCATGGACCAGTGGAGTGAGATGAACTCTTCGTATGCATTTCTGTACCTCGTGTCAGAAATAATGAATTCCTGTATTACTTCTCAGAGTCTCAAATGCAAATACAGATAAGAAGATAGATGTGTTTATTGAGGTTTATTCCACCACGAGACTTGAGCTTATTCAGATTCCCAAAGCAATGCCTCCTAGGTTAGATGACTAGCTAATCATGCTGTCTTGCTCAAGATTGTACAAGGACCACAGAAGAGAATAAACTGTTAGCTAAATAAAATAAAAACAAAAACAATAACAACACCGTGACTAAACCCATTTCCACTACCTAACCCAGCATCTGTGATATTTTTGTGATTTTTGAAATATTTTCCTCTCACTATTTATGGAATGCCTTATTATTAAGAAACCCTTGGATCCTTGGGTTTACTAGGATAAATATGTAATCATCCATTACATTTACAGTTTGTGCTGAAGCTGTTGTGCTCAGCAGATGGCTACCAAGACAGAGTGGGCTCCCTTGGAAACTGCACTGAAAGCTCCCGCTTTTAGACCAGCCTGAAAAATGGCAGCATATATAAGCTGCAAACGCACAAACGCAGAATACTCTCCTCTAACAAATTCTTAATAACATAGAGGAAAAGCCATAAGGAGGAAATAATGCTTCCTCTGGTTACTTTGTGGCATTTTTTGAAATGGGAAATAAAATGACACAACAGGGACATTTTTCTTCCACTCTTTCCCAGACCTCACTATCAATACTTTGATATTTAATAGCAGTTGATGCAGATACAGAGTGGGACTCCACAAAGCCAAGGCAGCCAGTGTTGAGAACACTGCAGCCTGAACTCACAGTGCACAAGCCCTGCAGGATCTATCTGCATCAGTGGGAGGTACCACATGCCACGCTATGACCTGGAGTGACAGAAACTCTGGCAGCAGCCCATTCTCAGCTATTCCTGCTCTGGGTTGGGCACCTCCAACAGATGAGTGCACATAAGCAGGAAAAAGAGAGCAGGAGGAGGGACTTGACAGCTAAACCTGCCCCAGTGCCTGAGCCAGCACCTTAAGTAACTGCTTACAAAAGCTGAGCAAGAGACTAACAAGCAGGGACAATTTCATCTGGCCTGTATGCCGTGAGACGGCATCAGCGCACACAGAAACACTCAGGTGCTCCCTCTGCTTTACCACTGACCTGCATGGGGCCTGCCTGGACATCCAAAAGTGGGCAGCCTTCATTCATGGGAAGAGCCAGTTGCAGTATGCTCACTTTTGCAGAGGAGGACCTTGCTCAGCAGAAAGCCCCAGCTAAAGCAAAGAGGCTAAGCCTGGATTCACAAGCACACAGCTACACTGCTGTGCTTAGCTAACCACTGTAAGCCTGGGACGTGCAGGATTATGGAGCTCTTAGAAATACTGTGGAAGTTGACAGCCTGTCTTCAAGAAGAAAAAAAGAAAAAAAAAGAGGTCATTTAAAGTGCCAGTGGCAGAGATGTTTGCTTGCACTCTTCCCTCTTGCTGATTAGCTGCAAAATAGGACTAAGATTTCAGAGGAGCTCTGAATACCCACTAGTTAATGCCTGCACAGTACTTAAAACAGCGAGCTTAATATCTGGCTTGCTAATGACATCACCGGCTGCAAGAGCAGTTATTACCATACTGTCCTGCGAATCAAAACAGGTGCAAAACAAGTTTCTTTCTCACCAAAACCAATGTAGTGTACAGTATCTTAGTGTCAAGCCCTCAGCTGAAACAAGCCTGAAAACCTACACAAACATGAGCACTGCAAGGTACAAAAACATTGAATCTGGCTTAACTCACAGCCACTGATGTAAAGCTGAAGCTCTGGCACGCGTGTCAGCGGCCTGCCCAAAGTCCCATCCCTCCTTCTGCTTAGCAGCACCTGGAGACCTGTCTCGATGGTCTCATCAAAGGAAGCAAATGCACAACCCAGCTCCCTCCTACCCAAGCATGACAGCCCCTTGCACTTCACAGAAGGAAGTCCTTTCTCAGAAGGAAAGGAGCATTCAAGAAAAAGGCAGCAATGAAAACCCTTACTCTTTTATTTTTCTCCAAGGATGCAAACAGTTCATTTTTTCCACTTTAAGCTGCCCTTTCTTAACTTAATCAGGTTAGCGTAGGGATTTTTGCATGGAGTTGTTAAAGCTTATTTCAACCCTCTGCAAGAAAGGGTGTTTGTCTCTAGCCATAGCACAAAAGAGGAAAGAACAGAGAGATCTTGCAATGTTTAGAGCAAGCTGAGCAGAAAGGAAAGAAAACAAAATCAGCTGTAACACTCACCGGAGATTTTTTCTGAACAGGGAAATCTTTGGGGGGATCATCTCCTGCAGAAATAAAAGTGAACAAACTTTCCTTGGATTCGTTTCTCTGAAAAGTGTTCATCTCCGCTCTCGCCCCGTCTCCCACCATGCTCTGTGGCCGTGGTGAGTTGACTGGGAAGATTTCCAACCTCAGGCATGAAGTTTGATTCAGTTTGAGTTAACCCTAATTGAGCACATTTCTGCAGCCAAGGCAGAAAGGGGAGGGAGGTGCCATGAAGAAAGACAACAGCAGAACTCGGCAAGAGCTGGGGAGTGCAGCCTAAGCCTTCTGCAGGTTGGGGCCGTGAGCACTTTGTGGCACGGACCTCCTGTTTGCTTGGCATGCTCCCAGCTATCGCACATGCATCAGCCTAGCACAGCCCTGTATGCTGCACAGATGTGAGCTGAATAAAAATCCAGGGACCCAGAAACCTCTAGAACCTGCTGATTTGGGACCAAAGCATCATAGCATCAGTCCTTCCTCCACTGTGCTAATGCCGGGTTTATTCTGCAGGGGTCCCAGTCCACTGAAAAACCATGTATTACCCCAAGTCATAACCACTGAAACTCATCACACGAAACCCTTGGACACTGGATGTCATGGTATTAAGTAATTTCTTTGCTGTCCAAGGACCAGAGCACATTTCCATACCAATTCCCTGGAACATCCTTGACTTTCCCTATGGGGCAACTTAATTCTGAGGGCACAGACAGCACCCAGAAGCCTCAAATCCCCTGTAATGTCTCCTTATATCCAAAAGGCCACCTCTGGGATCCCTATGATGCAAATGCTTTCTATTCTAGATATGGAGCCCCTGGTTCCCAGTAGGCACCCTGGTGTCCCTCCTTCTGCCCTTCCCATGGGAATCCAGGGAGCTCCTTATCAGTATTCCCTGGTGATGGTTGCAATTAGAGCAAAATTCACAGCCTTCCCATTAACCATCCTCAGTGGCTGCAGCTCTGTGGTATTTTGCATACAGTTTAGGGTTTTTTCTTCCCCTTCCATTTGGCTTCTTTAAAAGGCAAATGTTCAAAGAATTTTCCCAAATATTCCTTCAATTTTTTTACCAGAAAAATCACAGATCATACCCAGGATCTGCAGTTGGTACAAGAGTCTCATGAACTGATCCCTAGCTCCAGCACCAAGTTGCTGCTAGTGCTTGTTACAATGGAGCCAGATTTGCAGTTGACAAAGTAGGAAAGAGGCATCTGCTCACACCACAGATCCTTAGTTTGCCTTCAGTTCCTGCTAACAAGACATGGAGAACATCTTTGTTAGGCCTGTTTCACAAGCAAGAATGACTTTAAAGTATATTCAAGGCTAAGAGTAACACAAAAAACAGACCGTGTGCAAGTTGGTCCTGCCTCCTGCACACTAAGCCAGCACATACTCGAGTCCTGTGAATCTGTTGCCACATTGAAAGCAGCAGAAGTATTTCCAAGCCAGATGTCGGTCTCTCTTACTTGCCAAAACAACTGCAGCCAAGCCCCAGTAGGAGCCTGCTGTGTGAGCAGGGCAAACACAGCAAAATTTATCAAGGATTACACAAAAGCAAGACAGGAGAGGTTTCAGCATCCCTTGGGTGCAGGGCTCCCATGCTGATGCAACGAGATGCCTTAATATTACCTTTAGCATCTGCTGCTATGCTTCCCTTGTGTGTACATAGCCCTGTGCTTTACACCGGCTAAATGATTTTTCTAATACTAGAATGAAAAAAACGTATCAGTCAGTGGAATTAACATGCTGCTTGTCAAATACAGCACAGAGATGTTTAGGCCATTATCTTTTGGAAGGTTTTCCCAGACAGAAAGGGAGAAAAAAAAGAATAAAAGCATCCGGTAATAAATGGTAAGTCACAGCAAACAGTGAGAATGAGTTAAGGAGAACATATCTGCAAGCAACTCAAATACAAGTTAAATAAAACTTGATAGGAGACCTGTGTGGCTGGGATGAGAATTGGGAAGGAATTGTACCACAAATGGAAATAAGGTGACACTTCTGAAGATGAGTATAAACAAACAGATCGAGTATGGAGCAATAGAGGCTGAAAAGCTACAGCACAAAATGAATTATAGCTAGCAGGGGACACAAAAGGCAATAAGAAAAGGAGTTAGAAATGCTGTAAATATTGGAGAAAGAGGAAGGAAAATGAAAGTCTTATTGAAACTAGAAAACGAGCAAACAAAGGCTGATCGAGAGAAGCCAGAGTAGTTGTGTTCTTTTTGTATGTCTTCACTAAAAGAAAAAAAAGCCACAATATACAATATTTGGATCCTTCAGTTTTGCTCAAATCATTACAGGCTGATCAAGTTCTCCTTCAAGCAGTGGATGTGATTTTTGAACCAACTTCCTTGTAAGGAACAGAGGCAGGACAAGCTTCACCACTGTCTTCAAAAAGGCAGGTGAGGCTTCATATAAAATATCCATCCAGTGGACAACAGGGAAATTCCTCTCAGGGTAGCTCACAATACTTCCCCAACATACCAGGAAGGCAGGAAACATGCAGGTTCCCAACTTCTCCACAAGCAAAGAGAACATCGGCACAGCCAGCAGGCTGCTTGCATTTATGCCCAGAACTGGGATGGAGAATAGGGCATGAATTCAAAATTTCTACGTGGGAGAAACCATCTTGTGCCTCTGGAATTAATAAGATGAAATTCAGGAAAGACTGCCAAATGCTACCCCAAGGGAAAAAGGCACAGAGATCAACTATTCTCCACTTTCATCATCAATAAGATGAGAAAAATAACTGACTTCAGTAGAGAAGATTTGGGGCCTCTTTTGGCCAAATTTCCCTTCTGCAAGGATGTGGGAGCACTGGCAAAAAGGTGGTGCAGCTGAGGCTGCAGAGTTCAGGCAATCCTTGATGTCTGATATTTAAGAACATATTAGGGACTCGCTCAATATGTCAGGTCCTGTCCCAAAGCAGGCAGACAGATCTGAAAGACTCTGAAGTTTGCTCTTCTGAATTTCCATGAAAAGCCTCTTTTAAACAACTTCAGCTGGTAAGCATGAAAGCAAGTACTGCTTTCTGTAAGATTTTCTTTTTTTCTCCGTTGTCATTCTTGCAAGTGGACAACCTGTAAGATGACCCATGCTTAAATGTAATACTCAGCTATCAGATGCCTTGCATAGCTGTAAGTTTCCACGAATACATTATTTTACAACTTTCAGTTCATCATTTAAATTTTTCAGATCCCTAAATCCACAGGAGAACAATCTGCATTTTTCTTTTGCATTTTCAATTCTTAGATTCTCACTGCTTTATGCTGCAGTGCTGTACAGATTAATCTGTTCATACTCAACTGATCCATTCATTTATACCTGCATTCATCTTGCTGTTCCTTGATTTTCAGCTCAGCCACACTGGTCTCTTTCTAACGAGTTTTATTTTGAATTCACACACACTGGTCATACTTTTATAGTATTCTCACCATTTCTGTGTTTCTCTCCTCTTTCTTTTCCTAAGAAAAAGTTACAAGCATGCCAGGAACACTTCAAGCCCTGGTCTATCTTCAGGTGGACAAGATAACCTCTCCAGACCACTTCTGGCTTCCTTTCTCCAATTCTTCCATTATAGAAAAGATCATAGCTTAACTTTTTTTAGATAGATCAAGACTGGCTCCCAATCACCCCAGACTCATCCTGAAGTATTTTAAACAAACAAACAAACAAACAAACACACACAAATGTTGATCAACAAAAAAAAAAGATGCCAGAGGTCTTTAGTCCTGCCTTCTTGTTCTACTAGCCTGTTCACTAGCCCTTATAGACTCAAACCTATAAAGGTATGTCAACCAACAATACTAACAATATCAAATACCTAGCTTGTCTTTAAGTGCCTTTTATCTGGTCACTAGTCAGCCTAAACACGTCAGAGAAACTTCTCATCCTTCCTGGTGTCTTTTAGCCTTCAGTTTAGCAAAAGGAATTTTAAGAAATTCTCTCACCAGCTTGGGCTTCTTTCACAGTTTGCAGCTCACTGTCTTCTGCCATTTCTTCTGCTTTGGGTGCACCAGATGAAGGCAGCTATGCTGTGCTTGAAGATGAACCTTGTCGAGCAGTCCTGGCTCTCTCTCACCCTGTTAATGTTTCACTTCACAGCAGCAGTCCTTTGGTCACCAATAAAATAGTTAAACTTTCATTTATTTTCAATCCCGAAGCCAAACAGAAGTCATTTCTGCTCATTCCAAAACATCACAAGGAATCCACCTTTGTACTTGAGTACAGCCTCTTACTGAGGCTGCATGACATCCTTGTGGATGTTCACAAGAAACCACATTGTGCTGCAGCTACATATCTTTCAATAAAAGAAATTCTACTAGACAAAAACAGGGACTGGGCCTGTGATGAGACAGGACCTATAGCTGGCAATAAAACCAGACAGATTTGTGAGTCTGTACACCAGCTACAGAACTGGCCTGAACTCTGCACATCTGTTAGCAGTTAAGACTGTGAGAAGACACGAGGTTTCATGAGATACTGGCTTCAGTTACTGGTTCCTCACGTGTCATATGGGAATGGGGAATGCAGACATAACATGGATGTGCTGCTCTCCCAGTTTCTTCTTCACCTTAGAGCCATGAGATGACTGGAGGACCCAGGTTCTTTTCTGGCTTGTGTCTGTTGTTTACCCCTTTCTGCGTTCCCCCTATGATGTCCCCTGAACTGCTGTGACGTCCTTTCAGAAAGGCTCTAAGGCATTTTCCTACCAGGAAAAGCCTTGGATATATTCTGCAGGTAAATGTCACTGTGAGCCACTGCTCTAAGTTTAGCAATAAAGAAGAGTTTCCATAGCCACATGGCCCTGAAGCCACTGCAGCCTTCTTCCCCATTTCACTGTACTGAAATCCTAGTCCACATCTGCTCAATATACAAATACAGTGAATGCTACAAACAGATATGCAGTTCCTAACAAACTCTGCTGTCAGCTGAACTAAGGCCGACCAGGGGAACTGGGCAAGGGGACTAGAAAAGTACATGAGGAAACACTGAGACACGACTGAATGTTACACAGGCAGCAGAGCTGCTTGTACGCACAGCAGTGAGTGGCCTAAGCTGACTTCAGACCAAATTCCAAAATAAAAAGGAAAGACAGCACAGTCAGCTCACGAAAAGATGTTGTTAAGTTGTAAGCAAAGGGAAGAACCAAAACTTGGAGCTATGAGATACGGTTTAGTAGCTTGTGGTACTAATAGGAATGGGAGGGACTAGATATCTTGCAGGTAGTTTCCAACCTTGCAATTCTGTAACTTTATAGCTACCAAAGAGCAGGCTTTTCACACAAGATACATAAAAGTACATGTAGATGGTAAGAAGGATTTAAATCTAGAGTGTGAGACGCGTGGCCAAAATCTAGGGAGCATTAGTCAAATTATGAGTAGATGTACAAAGTACAGCAAAGACAGCAGCATTAAACTCTGGGCAAGCACTGAGAAAAACAGGCAGAAAGGAGGAATGAGCACTGTAGGCCACATAATGAAATAGAGATGAAAAGAGAGAAAGAGAACAGTAAAAAGCTTTACTTGGAAATGCTTGTGGCTTCTGTTACAAGATTGGTGGAAGGGGAAACACATCAGGAAAGGGCTTTCCCTTTTAAAGGACTTTTAAAGAGACTGTTATAGCATGTAAAAATCAGGATATTTCTCTTCATTTACAGGGAATATTCAAGCAAAACACAGAAATGAAGAAAATCCAGAGCAAAGTACAACCATTAAATTCATTTCTAGGCTCTCAGGATGGAAACATCACAAAATTGCTGCAAATATTGGAAGCTGGCTCCAGAACAAGACTTGTGGTCTTTTGGAACAGAGCGCTGATTAATAGTAAGTGCCAAGGAAGAATATACTTTACATAGAAAACCAGGAATAATTTAACTATTCAAGTTGTCAGTACGGAGAGAGCCTAAGCGACCTCTTGAATTCCTTTCCAACCATTTCCCCCCTGCAATTCCAAGTTGTATTTGACACTGTGAGGTAAGGCACCGTGCCCTGACTCCCAGCTGACCAGCAGCATTGATTTCTGGAGGTTCAAAACAGAGGAAATGGACACTGAGGTGCCCCAGCCAGTGTGGACCCATGGGCACACATCCAATCCCTGGGACATTTGTATTCTCTGTCCTTCCTGCTTGGCCTTCATCTCCCTCTTTAGCTATTTAAAGCATTTTAAGAATGCAGCTCGTGTCTTAGAGGCAGTCCCTTATTAAAACAATACCTAGTTTTATTGTTCACATAGGTATGTAAAGTCTCGGAAAAAAGAAATCAAGAAAAGGAGCACCAAGATAGGCATTAAAGGGAATGTGAGCTCACCTTCTAACATCCTACTCAGTGCTGTTTGACTTGTGAGAATACTGAATTCTGAATGGCTTTCTTAATGCCCCTAATAATGCCCCTAATGCTAGGCTCTCACATACCCACCACCACAGCTGACTAGCTCTGGCGTAACTCCAGCTCTTTGATTAAAACCTGGCACTAGAAGAATCCATAGGTTTACCCAGTCCACTTGCCTGAGGCTGGATCATCCATCCCCTTCATGAAGTGAGAAGCTGGGAGGTCACTGCAGCTGGAAGAAAGATGGATGTGGCATGGCAGAACTTTGGAAAAGCACTTGGTGGCTGTTTGGTGAACATTTTCTCCCTGGTGGTAGTGGTAGCAGGTTCTTACTGCTGTAGGTCTCAGGGCATTTCACTGAGCAGATGTCACTATTTCCTCTTCACAGATCAGCAAAGGAGGGGGAAAAAAATGTCCTGATGAAGGCAGACTGCTCAAAATTCACGTGTGCCAGATCAGCAGCCTATCCATCAAGCTGCTCTGCCTTTAGTATTATCACAGCAAAGACTGAAAAACAATTGCACACAGCATCTCAGCCATCTGTAGTCTGTTCCAGCCTCTGGGACAGATACTGCCTTGGGAACAGCCCTTTTCACACTGACCTGGTGGTCTCATACCATCTTCTATCCCATTCTGTGCAAACAGCTGCTTTCACTCTCGTTTCTCCTTCAGCAAGAGGCAGCCAGCAGCAAGAAATGCAGGAATCCTGCAACTCCTCCATCACTCGCAGCCAGTTCTCAGAGATGCCCAGCTCTGGGGTCTGCTGGACAGCAAAGGAGGGTTCACAGCTCCTGGATGTGGCAGCAGGACGCTGGGATTCACTTCTGATTCTGCTATGCATCAGTCACCTTGAGCTAGCCTTAGCTCCACTGGCCATAAAATGAGAAACAAGCAGAACTAATCTCCCATACGTATGGAGGGAACACTTTCAATCATTAATCTGGCCATACAACCAGGAGAATCTCGGGGCAGGCTCTAATTATAGTTTTTCCAGTTTTGTTTTTCACGCACCAACAATAAACAGCCTGATTATTTCCATTCCTTGCAAGCTTCTTTGTGTCAGGACACATAATACACTGCACAATTTCAAATCTTTGCCATCACAGAGAGGTTACTCTCACCATTTCTCAGCACAGCAGATTTTTTTTTGCTAGAGCTTAAGTTAGATTGCTGTTGCATAATCAGTGTTTCATTAGGGCAAGCTGCCAGGTCAGGGAACATGCAAATCCCTAAAATATCTCTGTCCTGATAGAAATCCCGATCTAATCCAGAGAGATCCCGCTCTGCATCAGTGGCCACTCCCAGATGCGAGCACAGATAGACACGTTCAACCTTCTGCATTCCTGGGACCATCATTGCTGCGAGATTTTAATCAGATCCTCCTGGACCAGCTCCCACTTTTGCTACACCCAGGGCCAGGCAGATCAGGGGCTCATCCAAGACCTATTAACTCTGGTTCCCTACACTTTCATAGCGAGCTTGTGTTGACATCCATTCTTTTCTGCCTCCCCGTGCAGGGATCGCTTTGTCACATGGGGAGAGCCAGCAGCTCCAGCAGGAAGAGTAGCTGTGGGGGTTTTCCCTGTATCAAATCCCAAGGGGGAAAGGCATAAAATTAGAGACTTTTCCTCCTTTAAAAATAAATATATAAATAAATAATTAGTCTAAACATACAATCTGAACTGACAGTCTGTAGCACAATTTATTTTGTCCTGGCTATGCTGTGCCCAGGGAGGTCTGCTCTCCACTGGCACTCTAGGGCAAATCCCCTCGGATTGCAGAGGAAAAAGGTTATACTCACATAAAAGGAGGAGTTCATAAGTTCCCCTTTCTTACACAAACAGCACCCCTGAACAAATGCACGCTTTTCTCATGGGCAACTGCAGAGCAGAGCTGCAGGGAAGCAATCAGAAGCACATCCCACCAGCGGGCAGTGGCACATGGTATTTCTCCTGCACCCACAGCCTAGATGCTGCAAGCCATTAGAGCTATGCAACTGCAGGCTCAGCACAAGTCCTGCTCCAGCAGCAGGAGGTCTGATGAATCTATTTAAGGACACTTTCACTCGTCAGGCTACTACGATCATCTTCGGGCCCCTTTGCTTTACCAACCTGTTTCTCAGCAGTTCCTCATGCACTGTAAGAATACAAGCCCTCCACAGATTTCCTTTATCTTCCTGTGGTGTACTTGTTAGATACTGATTGGTCCTTCTTTACATTTATTACTACCAGCAGCCATTCACACCTGCGTTAGAGTGGAGCAAAATGCCCACACCTGGCAGCCCCAACTGACAATATGGGTTTCCACCACCTCTCACACCTGTGCTGTTCAGTATTCAGCTTTAGGTCTACCCAAGAGCTTCTGTACAGTCTTCACTAAACAGAAGGGACCACACTGGTATTCAGTGACAGAGAAATCCATTAGTGCCAACATTTGTTAGCTTTAATAAAGCCGTGATGAAAAAAGCAGTCACCTTTTACGTGGCCTTTGGCTACGTCTAGGATACAAGAGAAGATCTGGCAGTGCCAGTCCTATGAGATGCAGAGGGCCACTGAGGAGGTTTGTAGTCAGTTGACTTCAAAGAACCTCAGAGTGCTCAGCAACCCACAAGAGGAGCTTTGTTTATAAAAATAATCGTTCTCAGAAGGAAAGTGTACACAGCACTTTTTCTCCATCTCTCATGCAGTTTTACCTCCAACAATCAATCACAAAATAGACTCAACACAGAATGCCTTGGCATATTTCTTTGTCGC